ATAATGATTTAAATTTCATCTAATCTATTTTACTTTCTATACCAATCTATTACTTTAGATAAAGTTCCAAAAGAGTTTGGTTTCTCTTATAAGGTTTAAACAAATTATTAAATTGATTTTTCACTATCATCTTATTATAAAACTAATTCTGACAACATCATTGAAGCATAATCATTTTTTGGATTCAATTTTTATAATATTTTTAATTTTTATTCGCATGAAATCTTATCACCATTTTAATAAAATGTTTCTGCTTATAACTAAATCAAACTTTCATTTGTAGGTATGAATTTAATACCATCATCTATACAATCTAATGTTGCCTTGTAATTTCTTTCATTATAAAAGAAATACCTAGCTTACTCTAAAAATATTAATCCCAATTATTCCTTTTCCTTATTTACATTAGCAGCTTCTTATTTACTTTTTTCAATAACATCTTTTTATGTTTAGACTGCAAATTCAAATGCCTTTCTTATTTTTTCTATTAATTTTTAAGATTCAGCCATCAATTATTATTAAATCTTCTCTTTTTCAGCATTTTAAGCTTAATTAAATGTAGCCTATTATAATTTAGTAACCATTCTTGCAATTAACAGAAATCCTTAAGCATTTGCTTTTAAAGTTGTCAATGTTGGTGCAGCATAATCATCAGTTACAAATTTCTCCCAAACTAAAATTTATTCAGCTTTTTTGATATTATTCATTCTTAAATATAATCTGCCTAAATCTACTAATAAATCTTATCTTCCTGGAGTCTTTTATAAAGCAGCTTCATAATAATTAACTGCTTTCTGATAATCATATGTCATTGTAAGGGCATTACCAATAATTCTTGTAATTTCTTCATCTTCTGGATTCAATTCAGCAGCTTTTTAATAACTTAAAACTGCTTCTTAAGGTTCATTTATTTTCATAAATGCTTCTCCAATTAATTTATAATTTTCTGCTGTTGGTTCTGCTTCAATAATTTCAGCATAACATTTTGTATAATTTCTTCGATCTTTTAAATACTTTAAATAGACATCAGCTAAAATTATTCTTGAATTAACAAAATTTGGTTATCCACTTTAAACAGCCTTAAGAATATTAATTGCTTTCTTAATATCTCCACTTTCTATTGCTATTTCACTATTAGCCATCATAATTGTGCTTTCATGAGGACTACCTGCATATTCCTAGATAGCTTTTTACATAATCTTTTTTGCTTCAGTTTCTTTCTTATTTATTGCATATACCTTAGCTAATAATACAAAAACTTGACATTTATCTTTTTCTGTAAATTATACAATTTTTGATTTAACTTTAGTTTTATTCTTATATTTGCCTGCAACTAATTCATAGGCTGCTTCTAATGTAATTTATGCATTCTTATAATCTTCAGTTCTAAACTCAACTTCTCCCTTAACTAACATAAATAATGGATTTTCCCTAATTGCAAAATTATTAGATATGGCTTAATTTAAGGAATTTGCTGCTAAATTAATTTATTTAGTCTTAATAGAAATTAATGCATGTAATATATATCCATCTTCATTTTTAGGATCTAATTCTAACACTCTATTAATGGTTTTCAATGCTTCTTGTGGATCTCCTAATGCCATTTTACCAGTTGATAATAATAACTAAACATTTGTTAATCCAGGAGCTTATCTTGCTATACTTTCTAATAGTTTTGTTCCTTTTCCAATACCTGAAGTTGGTAATTCCTTACCTGCTAACATTAAGTTTGTGGATAGATTTCTAAGATACATTTAAGCTATTGTAAATGTGAAATCTGGATTAAACTTTATATAAAATTCATATCCAGGTAGTAATAATTTACTTTAAGTTAAATGAAGTTTAAGTGTTTCTTCAATAAATTATTAAGCAATAGGAGAGTCTGTACCTTCTGACTTCTTACTTTCTAATAAGGCTTATAAAAAAGCAATTTCAGTAGTTCTGCCAACTGAAACTTATACTTCTTAAACAAATTCTAATTATTTTTCTGCATCATCAATTACTCCTTATAATATTTTGCATTAAATCATTCCAGCTAAAGATTCCATTCTTCCTTCATCTAATGCTGCTGCTTCTTAGAAAAAACCATAAGCTTTTTCATAGTCTTCTAACATCAAAGTTTCTTAAGCTAATTCTAAACACAAATCACCTAATAATGGAGCTATTTTTCTTGTTTTCTAAATTTAACTCATAGTCAATTAAAGAATTTATTGATTTCTACCTGAAACTCTTGATAACAATTAACAACAATTCAAAATTAATTAAACATTGTCTTCTTCTTATTTTTAAATGGCATTAAATAATTCTTCAATTTTTTCTAATGATTCTCTTACATCTCCTTTTCTTGCTAAATTGTAAAATGCTATAGCTTTCAATCCAAATATATTTGTTGGATCATCATAGAGTATTTTATTTGCTAAATCCTAAAATTATTCCCAATCTTATATGAATATACTGAATCGCAACTTTTCAACATCTGTAAATGGAAAATCTCTCCAAACTATCATTAATTCATTTAAAGCATCTAATGTAATTGGATACTTTTTATTTATTTCTGATGCCTTTGCTAAACCTAGCAAATATTCAATAGGCTTTTAATTGAATTACCCTAATCAAAATATTAACATAAATACTACCAATACTCTAAAAGTAATCAAGAATATCACTTGGATTGATTTACTCTTCCTTTTATAATAATTTATACCACCCTAAAGTGATTTAACTTATAGGTTATCCTTATGATAATAATTCCAAAACTTCCTTAGCCTTTCTACCTTCATCTACGAATAAATAAAAATAAATGGCACTCTAAAATGCTCGATCATTCGGAGTCTTTCTACCCTCACTTTACATCTATCTACAAGTTTCTATGATTTCCTATAGAATTAAAATTTCAATAATACCCTATCAACACCACGTTGTTGCTAAGAATAGTAGATAAGTGCTGCTGAAGTTGCAAATTAAAATTCTTTTTTATTTCTAATAAGTGTTAACTCATTTATTGCTTCATTCAAACTTCCACTTTTGAAATAGCAGAACGCCCTCCAAAATTGAAAGAATGGATCTTGAGTTCTTTGATAAAACTACGTAAATTTATCTTAAATTACCTTATGACATAGCACCTATGTTGATTTCCATAGACCTTCTCTTAACAAGTAAAAAACTTGGGATTATTGAATAAGTAAATCGCTACTCATTTATATAAAAAAAGAAAAATAAATAAAATTATAGCAGTTAAGATCAGAGCAATTTAACTAATTACCCTTACTTCCAAATTCCTTTGGTTATCTATTATGACTCATCTCCTTTATGAAATTCTCCTTATCCATTCTATAGACCATACTTCCATTGACCAATATATTTTCTACCATCAGAAAAAGAAAATATTCCAAAACCATGTTTTTAATCATTTAAATATTAGCCTTTATAGAAACGACCATCAGGCCAATTTAAGATTCCCTTTCCATTCATTTTACCATTAACCCATTCTCCTTAATAGATTCTTCCATTTTACCATCTCTAAATTAAATATATAAATATGAGTATTTACATATATTCCTTATCCATTAAAATTATCAAATTGAAATTCTCCTTCATATATTTCTCCAGCATTAAATGTAATCTTTCCTTTTCCATGTTTTTCTCCATTTAGAAATGTACCAACATAAACAGAACCATTAGCATACCATTCTATTCCTTATCCATTAGGCATATCTTTTTCCCAACTACCTTTATGATAATTAATTTAATAAGTAATACCTTCATATTTACATCCATTATTATAATTATAAATACCTTAACCATGCATTTGATTGTATTACCATTATCCACGATAATAGGTTCCTTCTTTACTTTTAAATTCACCTTTACCATGAAATTAACCTTTCATAAAATCTCCTATATAATAGGATTAATCAGAAAAAGTGTATTTACCTTTACCATCAGGTAATGAATCTAACCATTCTCCATTATATGAATTACCACCAACTAATTTAATAGTATCGAATTTTTATCTTTTATTTTTTTATTATAATTTAATTTTATCATTTGTCTCAAGTATTTCTAGAGTCAAAACACAACGAAATTTAAATGAATTTATTTTCTCTTTTTAATTTTTAAGAGATCTTAAACTTTTATTAGGAGAGTATATAAGTTTATTTTATGGAGTTTAGTCATATTAGTCCAATTCTTCAAAATCGAACGAATCAGATTCTTTTGGTTGTAATTTAAGACTTTATTGACGATTAAAAATTGAGAGTGCTGATTGTTTTTGATTGTTTTATATGCTAGAAAATGCATTTGAACCATCAAACTAATTAATTTTTGGAGAATAAGAGCATGTATGATACTCAATTAAAAAATCTTCGGTTGAATTGCATATTATATGATTTCTTGCTCTTATTTCTGCTAATTTTAAACTTCAAATAAAAATATCTTAATTTACTTGAATTTTTATCTAGTTACATATGATCTATATGCGGATTGAATTTTTATTGCCATTTTATGATTTTATGCCGATTAATAAATCACAACATTCTAATTTCTTCCTGATTTCTATAGCTCTTGTTTCTAAATGCATTAATTACATGAGCCCATGATATTATTATTTATATATAAAACTAAATTAATAATCTCTTTCAAAAATAATTAGAATTTTATCATAAGGATTTAATAATGCTTGTGATCTATTAATACCATAATTTATGATCAATAGAATAAGCTGTATTAAATAGAATTTTACAATAATTTATTTAAATTTTTATGATGATATTATAGCCAAATATGATGTTCTGTATTACAGAATTAATGATCTGTTGAGGAGGTATTCTGAGTCAAAAATATTATTTTTTGTTTCTATATTTAAATAAATAAAATAATTATGGATTCAAGATAGAAATTCAAAATGAAATAATATTAAGAACAAAAAATGAGATATAAAGAAAAAAGAATGAATAAAATAGGATTTGTAATTTAGAATAGAATAATGAATTATATGATGAAAATAAAAAAAGGAATTGATATTTCTATTGGAATATTATTATAAACTAAACTTTTATTTGAAAATGAGATATACAAATCAACCTGAAGAAATTTATTAATTAAAGAAGAAAATTAAGATTATTTTCAAAGTTATAAAGGACTATAATTAAAAATCAAGATTATTTAGAAAAAGAACTCAACTTATGTTGATATTAGTAAATAATTACTTAGAATAAATAATTTGATTGTTATCTATATCATTTTATTAGAATTAATTAAAAATATACATAGATTAATAGAAAATCATAAGCTCAAATAAAAAAATGCTCAGATACACTGGATAAAAGGAAGATATTGAATAATATCATTCTATTCTTTAGAAATATTAAAGTAAATCTATAATGATTAAAATAATATATGGTATTTTATTAATATATATATTATAATTATGTAACAGGAAAGCATATATAACTTGATTCCTAAGGAATATGTACCTCCTCCAAAAGAACCGATGTATAGATCGGCATATCCAAGTGGATTGACACCAACTGGCAGCACATTCAATAATCATACAACTAGTCGACCTAAAGTAGTTGTATTATTTTATTCAGGTTAATAATATCAATGGAAACTTTGAGTTAGTTAGGGGACCACATACTCATAAGGGATAATCAAATTCTCTTGGAAGACCTAAGGGTAATTTCACTTTGAATTTTTTTAGGATCATACAAACCTGATTCTACTATGTTCAGATTGAAAAATACTGGAACAATGGGATCAAACCAATTGCCTGAAGGTAATACATAATAATTATGAAATAGTTTAACAATATAAATATCCTCCTTCAGTCAGACCTCCAGTACCCAAAAAGGATGAAAAGCCTATTCATGGACTTAAATCAAATAAAAATTTCATAGTGACGAATGCAGTAGAAAATATTCTAAGTGCACCAAAATAAATAGTAGATGAAAAACCATGGACTGAAAAAAAGGACTATGGTAAGGTACCTGACTATCTTACAAAAATATAATAAAGCATTTCAAGTGAATATGAAATTATTAGAAATATGCATATAAGTGAAGCTGAAGAAATGGATAAATAAAAATATTTGATGACTTAAGAAGAAGTTGAATAATTAAAAAAGGGATTAAAAAAGAAATGGGAATCTGTTAATAAAGAATACTAATCAATTACACATATTCGAATGATTGATACTGTTGGATTGAAGAGAAAGTAATAATAAATCATTATTATTTTTATAGAAAAGAGTAATGTGAAAAGGAATTGGCCTAATTGGAGAAAGATATTGAAAAATTAAATAAAAATTATGTCTTTGTTGACACATAAAAATGATGATCATTCCAAAAATATATATATATAATCGTATTTAACTTTGCCGCTTTATTAAATAATTAATAAACATGGGAATTCATCAACTTATGTAATTTCTAAAAGAAAAAGCACCAAATTGTTTTAGAACTTTGATGCTTGACTATTTTGCAGGAAGGTATTAGTATTATTTAACATATAGAACAATTGGTTGTGATGCATCTATGGCTATGTATTAATTTTTAATTTAAACACAATCTGCAGGATAAACATAAATTATAGAGTTAACAGATAAAGATGGTAATAGAACTGGACATTTGGTTGGGTTATTTAATAGAACATTGTAATTTCTTGAAAATGGAATAAAACCTGTTTGGGTATTTGATGGAAAGCCTCCTTAATTAAAAAGTGGTGAATTAGCAAGAAGAAAGAAATTAAAAGAAGAGGCTTAAGTTAAAACTGAGTTGGCTCTTGAAAAAGGTGATATGCAATAGGCTTTGCTTCAAAATCAAAGAACAACTACAATCACTAGTATAATGAAAGATGATGCAATAAAAATGCTTAGATTACTGGGTTGCCCTATCATAATAGCACCATGTGAAGCAGAAGCTTAATGTGCTGAATTATGTAGAGCAGGAAAGATATATGCTACAGCAACTGAAGATATGGATGCTTTGACATTTAGGACTCCAATTTTATTAAGAGGATTCAATACAAAAAAGGAACCTATTTATGAAATTATATATGATGATATGATAAAAGAATTAGAATTAACTTATGAATAATTTGTTGATTTATGCATTTTAGTAAAATATTTATATAATTCATTTTTTTAGTGTGGATGTGATTATACTGAAAAAATAGAAGGTATAGGACCTGGAACAGCTTATAAATTAATAAAAGAGTTTAAAAATATTGAAGGAATTTTAGAGCATGTGTAGAAAGTAAATGCAGAAAGAGTAAAAAATAATTAAAATCCTAAATATACAGTGCCTTCAAAATTTTTGTATGAAGATAGTAGAGAATTGTTCATTACTCCATAAGTATAAAAAGGAGAAGAAATTTAAGTAAAAATATATCTTAATTGTTATTTTAGTTAATTTGGAATAAGCCTGATGTTGATAATCTTAAAAAATTCCTTATAGAAGAAAAAGGTTTTGCAGAATCAAGAATTGATAATGGATTAAAAAGAATTGCTAAAAAAGATCATACAGGATTTTAAAGTAGATTGGAGAATTTCTTTGGTAAAACCACAAAAATAATACATCCAAATAATAGCAAAGCAAAAGGGAAATCGAATAAAAAGAATGAATAGCCTTAAAAATCTGGTGGAAAGAAAAAATTGTGATATATTTTTAACTTTATTATATTTAGTTAAGTTAATAAAAATGATGAATCTTTCTTTAAGAATATTAAATAAATTTAAGTAAAATTAACAACTATTTTAATTTTCTTAATATATGATTATTTCATGAAATTTTATATTAGAATAGATTTATTAATTTTATAAAATATTACTAAGTTAAGTATATATAACTTTCAAATCATATTGATTACCATTCATAAAAAAACAAACATCAAAATAATTTTTTTAAGTTTAAATTTAATCATTAAAAATGATTGAAGCTAAATAGCAAATACAAAAGACTGTTTATAAATATTCATACTTTCTAAACGACATCTTAGGGGAAGGCTATTCTTCTAAGGTGTATAAAGGGATACATAATGATACAAAATAGGTTGTGGCTATCAAAGTTATAAACTTTTAAACCTTGGTTACTCCGATTTCATAAAGTTTGCTAAAAAATGAAATAGCCATAATAAAGTAACTAAACCATGAGAATCTCATGAAAGTATATGAAGCATTTCAAACAAAAAATAATACATATCTCATATGTGAATACTGTAGTGATGGTGATTTAGCAAATATTTTAAAGTAAACTAACTTAACAATAAAAGAAAGTATTGATATATTTACTTAAATATCAAAAGGAGTAAAGGCTCTTCATGATTAAAGTAACTGCATTCTTATTAAATTTAGAAATAATACATAGAGATATAAAGCCTGCAAACATTTTAAGATTGAATGGTATATATAAATTATCTGATTTTGGATTTGCAATTATAGAAAATGATTTCGAGAGCATAATAAAGAAATTTCATGTAGGAACACCAGTCTATATGGCACCAGAAACTGTTCAGTTAAATTAGTATTCTGAAAAATCTGACATATGGTCGTTAGGAGTTGTTCTTTACTTAATGTTATTTAAAGAATTACCATTTAATTAAAAAAAAGAGGAAGACATTAAGAATAAATAGTAGGAGGTACATGCAAAAATTAGAAATGAAAGAAATCTATCTAAAAAAATCTAAAATATTCTGATTGGAATGTTAGAATTAGAGCCTGTTAAAAGATTTTCTATAGATTAGATATTATAAACTTTATAAAGTTAAAAGAAATTACAATGTAATTCACATCAGAATATTGTCTGTAAGATTTTAAGGAGATAAAGTGCTCATGCAGATTATCATAATTCAAAATAGATCTCAAAACCATTGAAAACATTACCAGTTGAAAATATTGATTAATAAATAGTACCTAATACATGTAGACATAATTAAACATAACGTAATATTGATTTAAATGATCAAGAACTAAAAGAGTTATCTAAAGGTTTTTGTTCATAACAATAAACTGAAAATAAAATAAAAGAAAATACAAGTTCTTCTAAACGAAAAGTTTAAATTTAAATACCTATTGTCTAATCAAATCATATATAAAAATTAGAAAAACATAAATAGATTTCAGAAAATAGTGATTCATAATAAAATGCTAAATCTAATAGTACAAATGAAACTGTAAAAAACTCTTAGTCTTCTAATCATTAATCTCAAAATGGATAAATAATTGTTAATACTTTATTTGCTAATATTGAAAATGCATTTAATGGTAGTATAGATAATAAACTATAACCAACTTTTAATACTATTAAAAATAATGATTTGATTATTTCTCCTAAGAAATAGCTTAAAGCTGTTTCATCTTACTAAAATTTATTAGATTATAATATTAATTCTAGTAGGCCTTTTAATAAGAATAATAATTAATCATAATAGAAAATAAGAGCTTCAACTTCAGTTAGTAAATTTTTAGATTCAGAATAGAAGATGAAGATTAAAGAATAATAAGCATTAAATTAAAACAGTGAATCTTTATCAGCTACAATATAACCTACTTACAAGTTTTTGGTATATTTAAATTAAATTCTTAAAAATTTTGATTAGATTAATACTGAAGAGAAGTAAAAATGCTTTTTTTTATTAAGAAAATTGTTGGCTTTGAAAGCTAATGCTATTAAAAAGTTTTGTCCTCTCAATTTTCAAGAAACTCTCTCTTAATGGATTGAAAGCTTTGAATAATATTATGTAAAGGTAGTTCCTGTATTTTATACTAATTAAGATAGAAAATTTAATCAATATTTCAATAATGATTTAGAATAATTTACTAAGGGATTTTCAAAATTACTATATTAAAATTTATAATAAGTAAATAAATAATTGAATTCAAAAGATTTATTGATAATACAAGAAGTAATCAATGATAATCTTAAATAATTTAATGATCCTATCTTATTTGCAAGAAGATGGGAGAATGGTTAATTGTGAAAGTTATATCTATTTTCTATATTAATAATTATTAATTTATTGTTTTAATAAATAAATTAGTTTTAATTTATATTGAATGACTGACAACCAATTTGATAATTAAAATGAATTTGATGAAATGGCAAACTTCAATTTTGTGATTCGTAAGAATTATAATTAATACTAGATATTCATTTAAAAAAGAGAAGTGCTAGAAAAACACAAACAATAATTGTTGGCATTCCAGATGAATTTGATTTAAATAAAATTATTAGATTTTGGAAGAAAGTAATTTTAATTCCTAATAATAGTAATTTAATTGTACTGGTGGTATTATTTCAAAAGATGAAGATTATGGAGATTAAGTAACAATTAGATTGACAGGAGATAATAGATAATAAATTGCAAAATTTTTAGTAGAAGAAGGAATAGCATTATAAGATAATATTAAAGTTCATGGTATTTGATATATCAAATATAATATTTTAAATCTATTTTTATATTATTATTGCCAATCATTCATATATCAAAATATAATCTAATGAAATCTAAGTGAATTTTTATTAAGATGTAAAAAAAGCAGACAATAGTATTTAGGTATTCTAGACATTCTAAAATAAAAAAGAATTAAATATTTATAACTAGAATAGTTTAATTTAGTAATTTAAATTTGAGTAGTTTATTTCTAAAGAGGAACTAAATTATAGATATGAAGACACATAAGTATTTATCATAAATAATTTAATTAAAGAAGAATTTGCATTAAAAATAACAAATAACCATTATTTGATTTATTATTTTATATCATTATGAATTTATATAATGTAGATGATGAAAGATTAACTAACCTAAATATAACATCTCATGTCATTATGAATATAGAATATTTCTGGACTGATGAAAGAGTCAGAAGACTTTGTGAAGCTATCTAAAACTTAGATGATATCTAAATCAATTTAGATTTATTTTAGTAAAAAATATTATAATCTTAAGGCCAAGATCTTGTACATAAATTACTGATTAATGTTTCTAATATTTTGGTAATTTAATGCCTACAAACTTATTGGAACTTTCTTTAAATAATTGGGGAAATCAAAATTATAACATTTCTGACATAGCCTTCATTCATTTAGGAAAGGCCTTTAAAAATTTAAAGATTTTAAGGTTAAATCTTTAATAATGGGGACATAAGGGATGCAAGATATCAAATATTGGGGTAGTTTAATTATTTAAGAGTCTTCCATAATAAATTTAGGAATTGGAGCTAAATCTTAACAAGTATAATTGACAAGATTTCAAGATTAGGATATAGAAATCAAAACATTACTGGACATTCATTTGTAGCTATGGGTGATTTCATTGAAAATTTGTAGAATTTAAAAAATTTAACTTTGAATTTGGCAGAGTACTTTTCTATTTTAATTATAATATTAGTTGGGGAAATGATTATAATAGATCCTTAGAATTATTTTTAAATGAGGATCTCTAATATTTGATTGAGAAGATATTCAATTTAGATTTAGAAAAACTTCATTTGGACTTAACAGGTTTGGGAATGAATGGTAGTAAAATTACTGAAGAAAGTGCATTTTTCCTATTATAACATTTATAATAAACAGACATTTATGATTTAAATATTATATTATAAGGTTGGATATGTAATGTGGAAGTAAAGAATTAGATTTTGAAAATGACTAAAGAGAAATAATAATAAAAAAAATATATGTACTAATTATTAGCAATAAAATCTTTGGATGTTTCAACTTAGGATAGAATACTTGAGGAAATTTTTGCAAAATTATGAATTGATTTATTCATTATTTAACCTTAATTTATGATTAATTTAATTTTATAAATTATATATATATATTAATTTATTTAATCATAATATTATTAAATTATTAAATAAATTGTAAATATAAAGATTATATATTCAATTATTATGATTTATTATAAGAAACAATAGAATATCTATAACAAAAATAGAATTTTAAATTTTTATAATATAAAAATGAAATAATTTTTATGATAAATTTCATACTTTAAAAATAAAAGATTTAATATAAAAATTTGAAGTTCATTATTATTAAGCATATAATTTATCAATTTCATCCCATTATTCCTTAAGATCACGTTAAACCTTGATTCTTTTATAATAAATTTCACAATCTCTATTACTACATAAAATATCTCCTAATAAAGATCCTTAACAACTCTAACAAGTTGTCCAATATTTATGATAATTAATTTATAACTCTTAAAGTTTCTAAAATTTATTAACAATATTATAAATACAATTGATGATTTTGTCATAATTTCTAAAGTTTTATCATGACAAAAATTGCATAGAGCTTCATTTTCTTTTATAACTTTCTTACAATTTAAACAAGCTGTTCTTTTTTAGACAAATTTACCCAATGCAGAATTTATATTAACTTTTGGTATATATCTTGACATTGTGTGATCACCAACAAATATACTCTCTGGATTAGGTATTACAAATTCAAATAATCTCATGATTGGTTTTTTGATTTGATTATTGACATAATAATCAAAATCAATAGGAAAATCTTTCTCCAAAACTTCCACAGGATCTTCTGCATTTTCATAAGTTTTAGATCCCTTAGCCCCTTAAATAATAATATAGGCAATTCTATCACCAGCAGATGGAGCATTAGAAGCATCTCTATTCTACATTTTTTCTGCAACAACAACATGAGCTTATTTTTATTTATAATTTTTAGTTAATTTATTTCCATCATCTTCATTTTAATTTTTCTTTTTATCTTTATCTTTACCTCCATCTTTATCTTCTTTTTTACTATTTAATGATTTAGTAATAACCAATTCAGAGATATCAACTTTATTTAAATATAAATTTCTAATTTATTCTTTTGTATATTAAACAGCTGATTTTTCATCTTATTTAATAAGTAAAAAGTATAAAATTTCTGTAACCATTTTTCTAATAAGAAAACAATTATCTCTTCTAACACTTTCTATACCTTTTGTATCAATTTTATCTGGTTTATCAGGTTTAGTCCATAATTATCCAGCATATCTCTTTCTATTCATTAATAAATATGGAAAATAAACTTTTTCAAATTCTAGTTTAATAGGTTATATGAATTTTTTAGAAATCAAAGCAGCTGCTTCTCTTCCTAAAGCCATAGCTTATTCAACTGAATAATCACCAAATTTAACCATAACTGAATCTGTATCACCATAAATAACTTCTGCATCAAATTATGCTCCATTTTTCTTGCTATAATGTTCTAATACAGTATCTCTTGTAAATTGAATCATTTATCTACCAAAACTAGTAATAGAAGCTGATATTTCTAAACAAGGCAATTAACCAACTTAAGCTCCTGTAAATCCATAAACAGAATTAGCTGATATTTTCAATGCTAATTATCTACCATCTAAAACTGCTTTTTTGAATGGATCAGTTTCTTAAGCTAATTAATTTTTTGCTTTCTTTCTTGCATTAATTAAATCCTCAAGAATTAATGGAAGCATTCCTTTTCTAATATTTGGTTTAACAAATATTGCATTAGTTTCTGGAGATATTGTAACTTGTTCCTCTTCTAAACCAACCTTATTAGGAGATGTATTTAACAATGTGCTATAACACATATTATGAGCCATCATAATACTTGGATATAAGGAAGCAAAATCAAGAGTAGCAATAGGAACCTTATAAAAATTCTTTACTGGATCTAATACGAATGCTCCTTAATATTCTTAATCTGTAGATTTAAAATGCTCTGTTGGTATTATGAAATCATAATGTTTGGCTTTTCTCAATAACTAAGATGCAACCTTAATTTGTTAACCTCTCATAAACAAATAATTAATAGGTACACCTGTAACTCTTGCCATTTCTGTATAATTATAAAGACAACATAATTTATCCATTAATAATATTGGTAATTCAGCATCTTTTAAACAATATACTGCTATTCTCTTTCTTGTCTCAGGACTTTCTAAAATATTATAAAATAAATAAATTACTATTTTAAAGTGTATAAATAATTGAATAATGTACATCTTCTTTTTATTATTTTAAAAATTGAAAACTAACATTATTTAATGAAAAAGATGAAAGTTTATGTTCTTTCATCATGTGAATCATCATATCCAATTATATTCTCCCTTCAATATTAATATCTTTTGTTTCTCTCATTCCCATTGCCTTACTTAAGAATTTACCATTCTTAATTACTGATTATGTTGTAGGTATTCTACCAAATATACCATAATTCTTTAATCTTAAATTGTGTGCTCTATTCAATATATAAGGTATATCAAAATTCTAAATATTATAACCTATTATAATATCAGGATCTAATCCTGAAAAAAACACTTAAAATTCATTTAGTAAATCTTCCTCTTTCTAAAAAGACTTAACCCATGCTCCTGGAATCTTTTCACAATCTCCAAGTGTAAATACAACTCTAATTAATTCCTCACTTCGATTATGTACTTTAACAATACAAGCAATCTATATTATAGGATCATGTTCCTCATTTGGAAATCCTTTCTCAGCTGCACATTCAATATCAAATGATAAAATTCTTAATGGAGCAATATCTGATTTTTCATCCAATGGTATTGATTTTACATGTAAACAATCTACATTGATTTCTATCTAACAAGATGATATTTTGTTTTAATCATCTCTTATTACATAGTCTTTCAATTCTATCCAACCCATACCAACAATATCATATTCAATCATAAATCTTAATGCATATGGTATATTTGATTCAAATGTTAATTAAGGTAATTCCATATCACATACCATTCTATTATCACTTTTTAAGAAATTTCTTATTTATGCAACATAAACTGGTTGCACAACATATATCTTTAAATAATTTATTTTTTTATTATCTCCTTTGTAGTATCTTATTGATTCTTTCTAACAAACTTCAATTTTTAATATTGGTTCTTTACCACCAAAATTTTTCTGTTTTGCTAATAATACATTAAATTCTTTTTAAAATTATTAGATATGTTAAGGCTCTAAAAGTAATTCAACTGGTGCTTGCATATAAAAGAATGATAAAAAATTAAAAACATGACATAGTATTGAATTCCCTTCAGCTGTAACACCAAACATTCTTATTACACTTTATTACCCTTAAGTATAATAATCACATTCTAATTGCATAAATTAAAGAGGTTTTGAAGAATTTATTTTAGGTGGAGATCGAGAAAACAATTACCATCCACTCTCCTTAAATTTTGCTTCCATTCTTTATTACTCCTCATAAATTCTTTTTATGTTTTATTGATCAAAAATAGCTCCTACATCATCATCTTGTTCGGCCATTCGAACTAATAAATTAGCGCGTATAAATAATTTTTATATTTAAAGTAACCGCGAAATTTTGTTAATCAATAAATTAGTCAAGAATTAAGATTAATTAATTAGATAAATATCTTAAAAGAAAAAAACAATAATTTTAATTATATGATAAACTAATACAAACTCTCTCATTATTTAAATGAATTAAAAGAAACAGAAAGAAATTTGAATCTATTATTATATATATATCTTTTATAATAGAATTTTGGAATAATTTAGTTAAGATGATTAATATAAATATAAATATAAAAGATCTTAAAATCTAAACATTTATACATTATTATGAGTGATCATATTTTACTTTAATCTTAATCAACATTCTCATTTTTTTGTATATCAATTTAATTTTGATTATCCTGTTATTCTTATTATTATTATTATTATTATTATTATTATTATTATTATTCCTATTCTTATTATTCTTATTCCTATTCTTATTGTTATTATTCCTATTCTTATTGTTATTATTCTTATTGTTATTATTCTTATTCTTATTCTTATTCAATATCTTAATCTTCCTATTATCTAGATTTCAATTGATCTTCTAGATTAATAATTGTCATTATCTTATTCTCTTCTTAATTTCTTAAGTTCTCATCATCATTTTAACCTGTTAACTTAAGACCGTTTTTCAATGTTTCTAAATTCTTTTCTGATTATTCTTCAACCTGAAATTCAATATTATTTTTATCATCTTATTAATTAGTTTTTTTTTCTTTATCAATTATATCAACCTATTATTATTCACTTATCATTTAGTCATCTTAAATTACATTATTTTTAATTTCAAATTCTTTAATTTTTTCATCTTGTAATGGTTTTTAAATCTTTTAATTAACTTCTTATAAATCAACTATATTATTCGATTCCTTTTTTTCTTATTCTATTTCTATTTCTTGACTTTAATTTTGAGACTATTGAACTTTTTCAATTTGAAGTTATTTTTCATTTTGTTCAATTTAATCTTAACAAATATTCATTTATTAATTTTCTTATTTTTCATCTATTTAATTATCATTTTGATTAATTTATTAATTATTATGTTGTTCAAAATCTGAATTCTTATTATGTTATTGATCTAAAATATTATTAATACAAACATTTTCTTTCTTTTCTTATAATTCTTTTATTTCTTCTGATGATTATATATTCTCATTCTTCCTTTATTCTTAATGAATTTCAATATCTTATTCCAATCTATCACCTTACTATTAATTTAAAAGTTATTCAGTCTAATTAGGCTATTAAATTAAACCTAAATTTGATTCATTATTTTAAACAAAAGTTTACTATTATATTGATTCTTCTTAAATTTGATTTGTTTATATATTTTCATTTTTTTCTTATTCTTTAATTTCCTAAATTTGATTTTGATTTTCTAAATTTTCTATCTATTCTTTATTAAATTCCTATTTTTAATTATCTTCCTATTCAATTTTGTTATCTAATTCATTTACAATTTAATTATCTTATTAGTAATTATGATTATTTAATTCATTCATTTTATTATTAGTATTTTAAATTTATTATTCTTATACTGCCATATCTAATTCTTCTTCCTCTTCTGAATCTTATTTATTGATCATATTAATTTTCTCTTTATTTCTTTCTTCAATTTATTCTTTTTGTACTTTTACTCTCTTTTATATTTCCAATTCAAATTCCTCCATTTCACGCTCTGATTCTTTTATATCAAATCTTTTTCGTTTTATTAGTTAATCTTAAAATGTTTATAATTCTGCCTTAGCTTTTTATAGTTCTTTATTTGTTAATAAATTTATTGAAATTATATTCTCACATTATGTAACAAGAGTTTATCTGACTTAATCTTATTCAATATCTCTATCATTTGCATCTTAATCATTTTAAGTACTTTGATCTCTTAATTATTACAAAACAATCAAATAACCATATTTTATATTTTTCCCATCATTTGCCCATTTACAAAAATATCTATGTTCACTAAATACATCAAATTCTTCCTCTAAAATTTGACATTTCCTACCACAATATTTGCACAATAAAATTTGGTCTTATTTTATCCAACCAAATATTGCCAAGACTTATTTTGGATTTTATAGTAAATACTGTAAATTTTAAGGTACTTTATCTAAATAAGTCTTTTTCACTTCAATTGGATCTTTCCATGATGCAAGACATTCATTATAATATGCCATTCCATATGAATGTAAAAATTCTTATGTAATTTTAAACTTAATTGCCATTCCTTAACAGTATTAATCATGTTTATTAATAGCCCTCTCTAAAATGACATCATTAGGTAGCATTTAATCATCAATTATTAATTTTGATTAACAATAATAACATTATAGACAATCTTCTTGACAAATATATCCAATAGAAGCCATTTTTGAAGGTTTAAGCTTTGAATCTCTATATGGCCAATTTAAGAAGTCGTAAGTTTTCAATCTCTCACAATACTCATCAAAATATTATTTATACATTTATAATAAAATTTATTAAAATTTTCATATACTTTTTCTTCATAATTGTTATTTTTTTAATATATATTATTTCTAATAATTAAAAGATCAATAAAAGAATTTATGATTTTTATTGATTTTATTTTATAGGATTATAATTCATATATCTAAACCTTTAAAGGGAGGAATCAAATATTTTAATTCTTAATTTCATTAAAAATAAGCATATTATGACTCATTTCATTAAACAATATTAGTTTTAATTGAAACTATTTTTATCATCCTATTTTTTAAATTATTAAAAATTATTCTGCCATAATTAGATTATAAGAGCAATACTATTTTAGACATAAATATTATTGATTTAATAATCTCTTCCTTATCCATATTTTATAAGTTTCTTTACAATATAATGATTCATTTAAATAGAATTCTTAGATAATAATTAAATATAATATCATTATAAATAAATATACAAAGGTCTTTAAAATTTGATAAAGATTTCTAATAGATATTACTTTTCAATTAATCTAAAATGTTCTTTAAACATTCTTTATAATAATGAAATATAAAAAAGAGATAAATCTAATTTTTTTAGTTTGGAATTGTTTTTCATTAAAGATAAATATAAACATGGATTTATTTTAGCATTATTATAGATTTTGAATAATTCAATAGATATTCATACATTCATATTATTTTTATTCATATGAATAAAAATAAATTTCATTCAAAAATGATAGATTATTTTATGTATATATATCCAATTTGAAAATTGAATATTAAAATTAAGCAACTGATTTATCTGCCATAATTAAAGAGAATATTAGTTTATGATTGATATCAATAGTAAAGGATAATGATAGAAATGAATTGAATTTAATTAATATTAATATATATATATATATAATGGAAGTCAAATATCGCCCACCACTTAATGATGTGTATAATAAATAAGCTAAAATTTTAGAAATGAATGCAATTGGTTAGAAAAAAACTTTGTATCATGTTTGAAGGAGAAGAGTGTGAAAGATGATTTACCAAAGAGAGTATGCAAAGTTGAGAATGTATGGATAAATGATATTAAAATAAGATTCTTTGGTTTTTTTTGGAATGCCCTGAAAGATCTGGACCTTATGAGGATGCAAATTAATTAAGGAATATTTATATAAAGCAAAAACTAGCTGATTTGAATCCAACTGTACCTGAGCCAAGAAAAAGAAAATGAGAGTGGATTTCATAATAATAATAATAATAATATAATAAAAATAATTATTAAGCAATCTCTACGAAATCATAAAACTTTAGATTGGAGCAAAGATGAGAATTCTTCTAATGAAATTTTGCCATCATTATCATTATCGCATTCCTTTAAAATTTGTATCCAAATCTGGTTAAATTACACTTAAATACCTCATCATCAATATCCCCCATAACATTTTATAATTCTGCTTTGGAAATATAATTATCACCATCTAAATCAATAACTTTAAATGCTTATTCCATTTTTTAAACTGATAAAAACTTTTCTTAATTCATAGCAGCAATTAGAAATTCTAAATATAATTAAATAGTTTTACCAGTAAAATCAACTTCTCCTGATCGATTGATATCAACTAATTCCATAATATGATCTACTTAAATGATGGCTAATTCTTAATTATTAGTAACTTAAGTATAACCATCAATTAATTCTTATCTTGATAATTTGCCATCTCCATTTTTATCAATAGCTTTAAAAGTCTTATTTAATTCATCTTATTCTTATTAAGTAATTATTTATGTAGCCATAAATGTCAAAACTGCTTATTTAAATTTACTTTTAGCATGAAATTGTTATAGATTTTACAATGCCTTTTAATTGATGACATTAGAAGGTGCATTATTTTAAATCCATTTATCATTATAAGCTTCTTCAGCACTTAAACGCTTAGCTGGATTTGGATTAAGCATATTCTTAATAAGATTTTAAGCATCTTAACTAATATGAGCCCAATCTTCATGATCAAATTTTAATTGAGCTGCTTTTACTCTTTTAAGTATTTCAGATTCACTTCTACCAGAGAATGGAGGATATCCACATAATAAAATGTACAAAATAATCCCACAAGACNAAAAATAAGATTCTTTGGTTTTTTTTGGAATGCCCTGAAAGATCTGGACCTTATGAGGATGCAAATTAATTAAGGAATATTTATATAAAACAAAAATTAGCAGATTTGAATCCAACTGTGCCTGAACCCAGGAAAAGAAAATGAGAGTGCATTTTCATAATAATAATAATAATAATAATAATAATAATAATAATAATATAATAAAAATAATTATTAAGCAATCTCTACGAAATCATAAAACTTTAGATTGGAGCAAAGATGAGAATTCTTCTAATGAAATTTTGCCATCATTATCATTATCGCATTCCTTTAAAATTTGTATCCAAATCTGGTTAAATTACACTTAAATACCTCATCATCAATATCCCCCATAACATTTTATAATTCTGCTTTGGAAATATAATTATCACCATCTAAATCAATAACTTTAAATGCTTATTCCATTTTTTAAACTGATAAAAACTTTTCTTAATTCATAGCAGCAATTAGAAATTCTAAATATAATTAAATAGTTTTACCAGTAAAATCAACTTCTCCTGATCGATTGATATCAACTAATTCCATAATATGATCTACTTAAATGATGGCTAATTCTTAATTATTAGTAACTTAAGTATAACCATCAATTAATTCTTATCTTGATAATTTGCCATCTCCATTTTTATCAATAGCTTTAAAAGTCTTATTTAATTCATCTTATTCTTATTAAGTAATTATTTATGTAGCCATAAATGTCAAAACTGCTTATTTAAATTTACTTTTAGCATGAAATTGTTATAGATTTTACAATGCCTTTTAATTGATGACATTAGAAGGTGCATTATTTTAAATCCATTTATCATTATAAGCTTCTTCAGCACTTAAACGCTTAGCTGGATTTGGATTAAGCATATTCTTAATAAGATTTTAAGCATCTTAACTAATATGAGCCCAATCTTCATGATCAAATTTTAATTGAGCTGCTTTTACTCTTTTAAGTATTTCAGATTCACTTCTACCAGAGAATGGAGGATATCCACATAATAAAATGTACAAAATAATCCCACAAGACCAAACATCACATTTTTCATTATAATTTTCCAAAAGAACTTCAGGTGCTATATAATAAGGTGTGCCTAATCTTTTAGTCATTCTCTTTCCTGTTTCAAATTTTCTAGAAGTTCCAAAGTCTATTACTTTAAGATCTGCATCAAGTGATTCAGATACAAAGAGTAGATTTTCTGGTTTTAAATCTCTATGTACTATCTTTTGGTTATGACAATACCAAACAGCACTTAGTATTTATCTCATTAGTTCTGCAGCCTTCTTTTCACTAAAGAAGTTCATACTCTTTATACGATCAAATAGTTCTCCCCCAGAACAATACCTATCCTCAATGAATTTAGTACTTACTCGGTTACCAAATAGTAATTTTTATCATCTTCGAATAATTCATACAATTTTACAATGTGTGGATGGTCTAAATACTTCAATATATTCATTTCTGAAAACAATTTTTCTTTATCTTCTTTCAATATAGATGTCTTCTTTAATTATTTCATGGCACGATTTAAGTTAGTCATTTTATGTGTCACTTACCACACCTTTCCAAATGCACCTTCTCCCAAAACTTTACCAGTAATGTAATGATCTGATATTTGACCTTTCTTTAATTGAACAAAAACATCAACATTTATATGTAACTTTTGATCCATTTCTAAAATAACTTAAATTATCTCATACTTTATAGAGATTGCTATTCAAGAATTTTCTTTCGATCAGTATCAGAATTCTATCGCTCCAATAATTATTCTAATTCTTTTGATACTTTCATTGAAACCTTCTTTGGTTCTTCATATACTTCTTTTCCATCATCAGATAAGTTTTGTTTCAATCCTAAACCGAAAGTTTATGCTGGAATATATGCTTAACGTTTGCTTGCAGTTGTTTGCTTAACAACTCTCTTTTATGATCCTTAGTCATTATCTCCAAAAGCTGCTGATTGAACTGAAAGTTCTATAAATCAAATTGATAATTATTATTACCATCTTGAGTTTGTAAATTTGATTTACAACAAGTTGCTCCCATTATTTAATTAATTTATTTCTAAAAACAATTTATATATAACCATATCCTAAGTATCAAAATTATAAACTAATTTTATAATCATTGAACTCATTTAATAAAATGGAGGACAATAAGAAACTCTCAAAAAGATAATATAATAAATGTTGAAATATATTTAAATAAGATAAACTTTTATAATAAATATAAATGATAAAGGAAATATATAATTCATAATTTAATCATATCTATATTTCTTTTTATTCTTTATTTTTCGAGCTAGAAAAAAGTAGTTTATTAATTTAGTCAGTATGATTATCTTATATCAATAATTAAATTAATATAAGATAGTTATTATGAATAATTTATTCAAATAAAGAATATAGGAGGATGCCATAAGACTGGATTTTTTGTTAATAGATTATAACTATAATTTGGGGATAAATAATATCTAAAATGATTATTATAAAATTATGTTCAAGTATAAATCATTCTGGAGATTGTATGCATAAAGCATAGTGTTAAGTATTCCATAGATAGTTACTGGTTACATGTGTGTTAAGTATTTAGACTATTCTTTTTCGGATTAAAAATTAGAATATGAATGGTTTTATATAGGATTGGGATTTAGTTGCTTATTTTCACCTTTGATGATATAAGTCACTAGATTCAAATTAATTTGGATTAATACTATGATGTTGATTGTTGGAATTATTGGTTTATCTACTGAAGATTACTCTTCTTAATTAGTCTATAAAATCTTTACATGCATTATTGGAATAGTTATAGGCTGTGATTGGTTATTAACGATTAGATTTATTAGAGAATAAGTAGGATGGGAAGAAGATAGATCAATATATTTGAATAATAATCCATAAATCTGTTTTTTTTTAGGGACTTTGTTTAAACTTAGTTATATTAAGAACTAGGATTTGGAAGATGAATAAATTATTATTAGTATTCTTGTAATATTGACTAATTCAATTAGATTGCTATCATTCCTTACAGTTTATGGTAAATAATCTCTTGAATATTATTACAGAAAATTCAAAGAACTTTAAGGTAGAGTAATAATTAAGAGTTAATTTTCAGGGAATATCAAAGAGATAGAATATTTTTATATATCTAATAATGAAAAATAAAGTGAATTAAATAGAAAAACAAGCACTTTATTTAGTTAGCAATATCGTTAGGATTTTTTTGGATGTACAATTTTAGCATTTTTATCATGGTTCCAAATCAGTAATCAAAATTATCATATAAATAATTCAAAAGGGTTTGAACATCCATAACGCTATTTTATTCCTGCATTTCTAACCTTTGCTCTTCTAAGTCAAATCATATATAGAAAATTTAGTATCATATTTATATAAATACTAGATGTGAGAAGCGTTATGATTTTTTTCAATATAATATTATTAATTTTGAGTATTCTTCAGTTGATTTAACTTAGATATGAATTACTAAAAAATGAAGAAATTTACATTACTTTTGCAATGCTATATAGTTACAGCACTTATTTCATCGGTCTTAATTCATTTATTACTTAACAATTACCTTATAAAGGTATTTCATATACATTAAATTTAACTTTTGTATCTTTGTGTGGAGTATAATAGATTGATTATTTGTTTTAATGTAAAGATTTAGAAAAATAATGTTTTACATATTTTAGATATATTTAAATAATAGCCGATGCATTATGTTTACCTATTCTATTGATTCTTAAGAATGTTAGATAATTTAGAGAATGTGTAATTTAATAGATTTATGATTGAAATTCGTTTTATTATCAAAATTAAAATATATAATATTTGAAATATATGATCAAGTAATCACATTCCACGTATGCTGTTATATGTTTAGTGGCATTCTCTCAAGGAGTAATTAACCTATCAGAATTGGCCATATCATACTTATTGAAAGAGGATTATGGAATGAATCCCACAGAAATGACATACATATAAGGTATTATCAGTATACCTTGGGTAATTAAACCTATTTGGGGTCTCTGTACAGATTTACTACCAATTTACAATTACCGAAGAAAGAGCTACCTTTTTATATTTGGATTAATGGGATTTGTGTTATTTTATGCTCTCTCCATATATGGAACAAAAGATGCAGTAGCAGGTGTCTCTATTTTATTGAGCATTCAAATTTGTATAGCATTTTGTAATGTTGTTGCAGGTATTACTATTTTTCAATGAAGAGGCTTTATTAGTTGAGATCTCAACTGGAAATGATAGTTCAACCAACAATGTCAGTTTATTTTTTGGATTTAAAGCTTTTGGAACTCTTATGACTAGCTATCTTAGTGGTTATTCATTAAAATATTTACAGAAATAATAAAGTAAGGATAATATATATTTTAGTTTTTAGGATAACTTCAATATTTCCTTTGATAATTGCTGGAGCTTCACTATTTTTGAATGAGGGTTAACATAAAGATACTGATATTAAGAAGTAATTATAAGAATTACATTAATTTCTGAATATCAAAGCTATATACAAACCAATTGTGTTTATATTTTGCTTTATGTTGTAACCATCAACTTCAACAGCTATGTTTTATTTTTAAACTGTTTATTTGCATTATACAGCAGAATTTTTGGGTAAGATTAAGTTTCTATTTGCTTTGGCTAATATCACAGCTGTGAGTATATTTAACAGATATCTAAAAAACTTTTCATTCAAATCAGTTTTCTTTGTTACAACATTAACTTATAGTGTTGTAAATGCCTTACAAATAATATAAGTAACAAGGAAAAATGTGGAATTAGGAATAAAAGATGAAGTATTTTCACTATGTGATACATTGTTAATGTAATTGATAGCTGAATTGAATATGCTTCCTATTTTAGTTTTGGCATGCAAGATTTGTCCATCTAAAATAGAAGGTACTATGTATGCATTATTGATGTCAACAATAAATTTAGGATAATTGGTAGCTAGATAGATTGGAGGGATATTGATGTATTTTTTAAGTATAATATTTGTTTGTTAATATATAATAGATATAAATGAATAATCATTTGAAAATTTGTGGATAATGATAACAATGACTAGTGTATATATTTTGATATTGTTACCATTTTTATCAACAATAAAAGAGAAAGAGATGATTGAATCAAAAGATTTATATAATAAATAAGATATAGATGAATTTGATATTGTTGGAAAAGGATACTAGAGATTAAGTTTGTCATTTGTGGATAGTTGATAATTTTTATATTACTAAATTAATAATGTTTAAATAGGCACATTCCACTAATTTACTTATAGAGATGGTTGAGCGAGTTGATGATGATAAATTCTTGGATCGTAAACTTGAATAGGAATGCGATAGTTTCAATGATAAAATAGGTATTGAATCTAAATATATATATATATTTCAGATACAAGAAGTCTAATTTTGAAGGCTATAGATATTTTTGGAAAACAAAAAGTAAGTGATGATGCAAGGATAATAGAAATTACAGGAGAGAAACAACCATAATCAATTCCAAATATAGTAAAAAATTAAAAATATAGCATAATTACATTCATTCCTATTGTGCTATTTGATTAATTTAGGTACTTTTTCAATTTGTTTTTCCTTTTAATCACTCTATCTCAATTTATAGAACCCTTAAAAGTAGGATTCCTATTTTCTTATGTGGCTCCACTTGTATTTGTAAGCATTATTGATTTTATCAAAGGTCCTCACTCTTACTTTAATTAAAGAAGCTTATGATGATTTTAAAAGATTTCTAAGAGATAGGGAAGCCAATTCATAATTGTATAGTAAAGTTTTATAGAATGATGTGATTTCAATTAAATCATCTTAATTAAGAGTAGGAGATATTATAGAAGTACATGCAAATTAAAGAGTACCAGCTGATTGTGTATTGTTAAGGACTTCAGAAAAGAGTGGGACAGTATTCATTAGAACAGATTAATTAGATGGAGAAACAGATTGGAAATTAAGAAGTGCATTAAAATTAACTTAAATTGGATAGTTTTTTGGTAGTACTTTGATTGTAGAGGCTCCAAAATTAGATATTTATGATTTTAAAGGAAGAATTAAAATAGATGAAGACAAAGAATCTGTATCAATTGATAATACTTTATGGGCAAATACTTATGTAGCAGCTGGTAAAGTGACATGTGTTGTCATTTATACAGGTAGAGAATGTAGATCATAAATGAATTAAAGAAAAAGTAGATTAAAAATGGGTAGATTGGATTAAGAATTAAACTTTTTATCTAAAGTATTGTTTGGTTTCATGTGTATATTAGCAGGTGGTATTTTGATACTAACACCTGATAATGATGTCTTAATTAACTTATTATAATTTTTTAGATATGTGTTGTTATTATCAAGTATAATACCAATCTCACTAAGAGTTAATCTTGATTTCTCTAAATTAGTATTTTCAATGAAGATTAATTCTGATAAAGATATAGCTGGAGCTATGGCTAGGAATTCTTAAATTCCTGAAGAATTAGGAAGAGTACATTATATACTTAGTGATAAAACTGGTACTTTAACATAAAATTGTATGACATTTAAAAAATTAGCATTGGAAAGTAATACATATACAACTAAAGATTTAAATGTGGTTAATAAAATATTAAAAAGATAATTTTCAGCTAATCCTGTTCCATTACATGATATTATTACTGGTAAAACAAAGAGAAATTCAAGAAGAAATAAAGATATAGTACTTAGAGATTTAATATAATGTTTATCTTTATGTCATAATGTTACTCCTATAATAGAAGATGGAATTAGATCATTTTAGGCAAGTAGTCCTGATGAAATAGCATTAGTTTAAATAAGTGAATAAATGGGTATTTAATTGATTTCAAGAAATTCTGAATAAATGGTTATTTAAACACCAAATAAGATTGAAACATTTAAAATTATATATGAATTTCCATTTAGTAGTGAAAGAAAAAGAATGGGAATTATTGTTCAATCAGATTCAATAGATGGATACTTTTTTTATCTTAAAGGAGCTGATTAAATTATTAAGAATAAAGTACCAGAAGTTTAAAGAGGATTTCTAATGGATGAAGCAGAAATGTTAAGTAGAGAAGGTTTACGTACACTTGTTATGACATAAAAATATATAACATCAGAAGAATTTAAAAAATGGTAAATTGATTATGAGGAAGCAAAATCATCAATGGAAGATAGAGAAATTAAAGTTAATCATGTTTTGGAATAATTAGAATAAGGAATGGAATTTTTAGGGATATCTGGTGTGGAAGATTTATTATAAGAAGATATTAATCATTGTATAGATTAATTAAGAAATGCAGGTATTAAAATTTGGATGTTGACTGGAGATAAAGTAGAAACAGCATAATGTATAGGTATATCTGCTGGACTTAAAACTCCATAATAAGAAATGTTTACTATTAAAGAAGCTGATTCTTTAAATCTTTAAAATCTTTTGAATTAATTTTCATCTAAACATAATTCTATCTTAGTAATTGATGGAGTTTCTTTGACTCTTGCTTTTAATGATCATTTTGATTAATTTATGTATGTAACAAGTAGAGCACCTTGTGTTATATGTTGTAGATGTTCACCTACCTAAAAAGCTTAGGTTGTTGAAGCTATTAAGAAAAATACTAATTAGGTTACTTTAGCTATAGGAGATGGAGGAAATGATGTTTCTATGATATAGGCAGCAGATGTAGGAATTGGAATAGTTGGAAAAGAAGGAAAATAAGCAGCATTAGCCAGCGATTTTTCAATAATGAAATTTAAAGATTTATCTACTCTTTTATTATGGCATGGAAGATTGGCTTATAAAAGATCATCTGTAATGGCTTAATTTGTTATGCATAGAGGATTAGTAATATCTATTATTTAGGCAATATTTAGTTTTTTATTTTATGGAATTGCTATACCTATATATAATGGATATTTAATGTTAGGATATGCAACTGTATTTACAGTATTACCAGTATTTTCATTGATTTTTGATGAAGACATCACAAAGAATAAAGCATTAGAATTTGCTGAACTCTATAAATCTTTATAGAAAGGAAGAGAAGTAACTACTAAAACCTTTTTAATTTGGTTATGGAAAAGTATCTATTAAGGCACTGTTATTATGGCTTTATCATTTTTATGTTTTTAGAATACTTTTTTGTAACTTGTAACAGTTACATTTACAGCTCTAATTGTAATTGAATTACTAAATGTAATTACAGAATTAAAGACATTTAAATTTATTACTTTAATCAGTTAATTTATCTCAATTAGTTTATATTTATGCTGCATATATTTTATGCGTGATATCATCAATTTAAGTGAAATTACAGTCAATTTTGTTATAAATGTTGGATTACTAGTCCTAGCTAGTTGGTTACCTTTGCATTTAGTTGAAAAGGCAATTCATAAGTACTATCCTTCTGAAGCAGATAAAATAATGGAAAAAATTAAACATTGAAATTTTTATAATAAAATATTAATGAAAATGTCACTCCTTCAACTTGAGCGTTCTTATTTGGATGCTCTTTCTGAGTTAGGTGAACATGCACCATAAACAATTCAAGCATGTGTTACTCTCATAGAGACACTCAATCAAACAGGTCGATATTAAATACAACAAAAATAATAAGGTGAAAAATACTTTTAAAGAGCTATCGAATTGGCATCTAAATTAGAAATGGAGGAATTGCTCAATGTTAAATATTCTACTTACATGTTGTATGCAGAGTATCTAGAATTTTAGCATAATAATAAATAAGCCTATAATCTATTAATACAATTACTTCCATTGTAAAAAACCAATTAAAAAAGCATTATTATGACATAAATCTAAATCATGAATCATATAATAGAGAATGGTCGACTTTGCAAAATTGCAAATGTTGTGCCTTTAAATGAAAAATTGTTGAATCTAATGGAAGAAATTGGATTAACCTTTTATCTTTAAAAACAATTCTCTAAGAAGTTTTAATAAATTCTATTACAAGCACTCTCATTCTAAGCTAAAATATATCATAAATAAAATAAAGACAGAGAAGCAGCATAATTATATTTTTAATCGTTTCATCTCTCTGAAGAATTGCTTGGAATTCATGAGAAAAGAACTCAAGAATATAAAAGGTTATATGAGTAATTAAGTGATAAGATATCTGTAAATATAGAAATATAGAGTCAAGATGAAGAAGATGATGAGCAACCTTAACAATTATAAGTAACACCTAGAGAAGAAATTCTTAAATCCTTTCGTCCTAAAATAACCTCATTCAACAATTATATTATTAATGTAGATTCTGCTAGAGCTCCAAAACCTTCCAAAAAAATAGATAAATCAAATAAACTAACTACTTCTTCATCTATCAACAAACCTACTCTTTTAATTAAAGATACACCCTTATAATCTTTATTCATTATAAAAAATCAATCTAAAAGACCTACTAGTTCATAAGGTACTACTAAATTAACTAGTCCTACAAGAGGTGCCTCATTTTTATCCAAAAAAAATACTGAAAGATTTCATAACAAAATGTTATCTCTTGAATAAAGTGCCTTAAAAGAATTAGATGATACTCAACCTCCAAATCTAACAAATGAATTACTCATTACAAGACCATAATATGAACATAAACCATTTAAAAGAATTGAATTTTTTAAATAACATACTACAAAATAATAAACTACATCCAACTACTAAATTTAACTCACCATTCCTACAAGACCCTAAATTAGAGAACCTTCTAGAAACAACATTATAACTAAAGTAGATATTAAGAAAATTTCTAATACTCCTAGTACTTAAAAAATTGAAAGACCTTCATAAAAAAAGATTTTGGCTCCAGAAATCTAACCAACTATCTTAAATATTAAACAAATAGGAAGTACTAAAAATTTAACAAATGATAATGATGAAGATATTACAAAATAAGAGGAAAACAAAAATTTATCATTTGAAAATGAAGAACCTATTAATGTACATTCTCCTCATGATTCAATTATAGCAAAATATTTAGAAACACATTCTATTGATAAATTGTTAGAAGCTGTAGAGAAGATAAAAGGAAAACTAAAAAAATATGTTTAAAACTCTCATAAAAGGAAAATAGAATTATAGGAAAGAAAACATTAGCATTCTCCTAGTAGAGTTATAATGAATAATAAATAATAATAATTAAATAGATCCAATACTTTAATTGATATAGTTGAAAAAAAACTTCTTGAAAATGAAGCTAGTAAAATCATATTTAAGTTTTTCTAATCAGCAAATACAATGGAATGGTATCCGATACATTTTTATGATAAACTATTTACAGATTTCGAAACATCTAAATGGACCCTTGAAAATCCTAGAATAAGAGGATAATTTTTATAAAAATCATCAAAAAATGATGATTGTCAATAAATTAATCTTGAATAGATATAAAATATTCTCTTTAATTTAAAAAGACATTCAGCCCTTCAAGTTATTGGATCTATTGAAATCTCTAATCATACTAGAAAAATCTAATTTAGATTTATAATAGATACACTAGTTGAACATTATAAAGATATATAATCATATGATGACATGATGGATTTATTTGATTAATTATTGAATATATATTTGATGCAAGAAGATTTATTCAGTGAATGGCTAGACAATAGGAAAGAGTAAACACTTTATAGGGTAAGTAAAGGTAAAGTTGCAACACCAGATCAAAAGAGATTAAGCATTAATATTGAATTTACTAGAGAACATAAAATGGAATTATAAGAAAATATACAATTCTATTAATATCTTTTATCAAAGGTTCTGTTTTTAATAAAAAGAAAGAGTTATATTAGAACTATGAATGGTTATAAATTTAAATCGGTTCCATAGAATCTTTAAGTCTCAATTTAATAATATAACAATTAAATTTATTAAAAAAAATTAGAAAGAATTAGAAATTATTTTCAATATTTAGATTGTGAAATTTAACATTAGAAAAGCAAACCAATTTTGAGTTAAAAGAGACATCGTAAAAGGAATAAAGATAAGCATTTATTTATTGCTTAAGATAGGAAATAAACAATAATAAGAGAAGCAACATCTCCTGCTTAAGATGATGAATCTCAACCACATTCATAAAGAAATAGTCCATATGTTTCTTTGAAAGATACTGGTATTATAATAGGTAATGAATTATAATCTAGATAATTAATATTGGGAGCAGAAACTCCACTCATTTAACCTTTATTGAGATAACCTGTGAAATCAAATTGGAAAAATATGGCTCATTAAGAGGCACCTCCTTAATTAATAGATATATTTACTTTAGAAACTTAAGATTATTTGTAAAGATACTTTCCAGAATTCAAACTAAATATTCCTCCTATTGATTATCATCCTACTCCAGCTCCAAGCATTAAAAAGATCTTAACAGAATCTCAATATCATTTTAGATAAGAAATACCAAGTAAGAAATATGTAAAATTGGAATATAAACCAATTCATTTAGAAGATTATTTGATTTTAACATAAGTGGTTAAAATTGATAAACAATTTTATTATCTCACTTTATCAGACAAATTATAATTAAAATAAGTTTTTGGTAAAGATTTATGGGAGGATTAATTAGAAATTTAGTTAAAACAATTGATAAATTATACTGTAGGAAGAACAGGATATATAATAGATTTAATAGAATTATAAAATATATTATAATAGAAGTTATAAATTATTAATTGTAAAATTTAAATCAAATAGGATGAGACTGATAATTCATACCAAAAAAAATTAAATAAAATCTTCAGAGTAAATAAAAGACTATATTAAGTAATTCAATCAATAGAATTTATAGAAGAAGGACTCAAAGAATTATCATAAGAAAGTAATAGTCAATAAGAAGATAGTATTGATTTAGTTGAAGAATAAAAAAGAGAACCACTTATTGATATTGTATTTATACTTGGAATCTTACATAATAATACATATATTGAATATCTAAATTATTTGCCAAATTGTTATCTATTAAAAAATTTAAATGGAAAATTTATGTTATAAGATCCTGAACAACCTAGAAAACCAAAATTCCCTTTTAGATTAATCTTATCTCATGAAGATATGAACAAACATATTTCTAGAACAAATGAATAAACTATTAATGCTAAAGATATCACATTATTTCCTCATTATAATTCAGTATTTCTAATAAGATAAAATTAATTCATTTATAAACCAATAGGAGTAAAATTACGTATTCTATCTGATCTAAGAAAATTACATCAAGATATTAGGAATGCACAATCAAAAGCACATTTATTAATTTATTATAATAATAATAGAAAGATATCCCTTTAACTTAATTCTGAATAGACAGAAAAATGGGCTCATTTATTTCAAATAGATGGAAATATGCGTTAACATATTTTAAATTATAAAAGTAAATTAAAAAAAACTTTAGTTGGGTTTAAGTTGTATTAAAATGAGAATCGGGTATCTTAATCAAAAGATCCAAGATTTTTATTAATGTAAGATAAACTTACTTAAGCAAAATAATATTTTATTTAAACAAAAATTAAATCAATTGGATGTGTTTTTGTTTCTGCAAAGATTCATTCTTCAATAATGCTAATGAGAATTATGCCAGCTGGAAACAAGAGTAAATCTCATCTTTTTATATTTTAAATTGATCAATAAGATCCTATTAAATTGATATATACTTTATGTAAATAATTTATTCTAAAAACAACTTAGACTTATTCTAAATTAGAACTTATGCCTATTACAAAAAATTAAATACGTAAATAATATCTATTATCAAATTAATATCATGATAACAATGTGTTAGTAGGTTAAAAATCTTATTCAAGAGTTATTTATAAATAAGTAAAAAAAATAGATAAAAGCTATTTTATAATAACAGTTACATTAATTTAAAACTTTTTTTAGATTTACCTTTATAATTAAAATAATTGTCGTAGATTTTATTTTACAATTCATAGATCAGATTTTTTAATTATGAATTAATATTTTTTAGATTCAATATTTCCAGAATAACCACATGAAGTTGTTGAATAATTCTTCAGACCTTGGAAATTAAATGAAATTTAAAAGATTTATTCATTAATTATTAAAGCTCCTGAGACATTTAGAAATAGAACATAATTGTATATTTAATAAATTACACAAACAAAAAAAAATCTAAAAAGATCTGCTACATCTAGTTTTTCTAGTGTTAGTGTTATTTAGAGATAATCAACATTATAACTTAATCAATTATTAGAAGAATTAAATGAAGATAATATAAATAAATCATGTTGGTTATTTGATAAATTATTATTACGTAAATATAATAGTGTATTCGAGAATAAATTATGGATGGAAATAATCAAATAGATGAATATCAATTAAAATTAAATTGTATTGGATACTTTTAAGACAGTTTTATCTGAATTAGTTTATTTTAATGATAGAACATGCAATTTTTTATGTTATATTCCATGTCATGAAATTTAATAATCTTTTAGATGGTAACCTATTAGATTAAGAATTCATTCATATGATAATTGCAAAACAATTGATGTACCTTTAAATATTAGAGGGAAATAAGTTTAAGTTTATAAATTAGGCAATTCTTTGTATTTGAATTATCAAAGTAAATAAGAAATACCAAGCAATTAAGAAAATATGAAAGTCAATAAAAATAATGATTCAGAATATATCAAATATTAACTACTATATAAAGGAGCATTTATGAAGCATAAAATGCTCTTTATAGCTATATATTTATATAATGATGTATTTCAAGTTAGAATCTTCAGCTAAACTAATTCTATATCTAGAAAATTGGATGTTAATTAAGTCGAATTAAAGATTCCATATATTAGATAATTATTAATGCTAAATCCTTATGAAGCTGGCCGAAGATTGAGTATTATATATAGGAATAACTTCATTCATGCTTCATTTTTAAAGTTGTGATGTTTTTATTCATATAAATTTTCTGTATTTAGCAATTAAATTAATATTTAATGTCAATTAACATTTAAAATATAGAGATTATATAGAATTTAAGTAAAGCAACATGTTGAAATTCAAGTAAACTAAAATGTGTAGTGTAAATATTTATTTTAATTTTTAATCGATTCAATTTTTTAGTTACTTTGACGAATCATTAGGATTCTTGAATCTTATATAGAAATCTTATTAATCATATTAATTTAATAGTTTTTCTTAATTGTACCCATCATCCATTCTCTCTAATAACCATTAAAATAATTATTTTTCTGATCCAAAATCACTTAAATAAGCTAATAATTAATACATACTAAATACTTTAACATAATGGATGTATAATAATTTCTTATTCAATAATATCAAGACAGACATTTTTCAGTATAAATTATTTAACATAATTTTGAATATATTATTAAACATTTTTCTCATCTAAATATTATAATTCAGAGATCAAACTAACAGAATTATCTTAGTATTCTTCAGTAAAAATAAATATAATCCCTCTTGTATCAATAGTAAGAATTCTTGGATCATTATTAGGTAATTAATGAAAATTTGGAGCAGGTTTATTTCTTCTTAATATTCCATGTTTAATTTAAGGTAGAGTAGTAATTAATTTGTTTATAGAATAAGCGAAATCTACTTTTTTAGGATGTGGTGGTAAAATAGATCCAATAATTGTTTTTATAATTGATTTAGGTTCCTCTTTGACTCCTTTTTTTTAAAGATTATTAACAAAATATTAAGTTAATGATCTATTTATTTTAATATATATATAATTACTGATGAAATCTCATTAATTAAAAAATATTAACATAAGCTGCTAATTTCTTTTCTTATGAATAATCAATCATATTTGATTTTTATAATTCTGTTGTTTCATGAGTTAATTAAAAATATTCTTTAAATCCTTATTCTAGAATATCTTCTTTAATATTATTTTTATCTACAAATTTTCTTTGAAATTCTTTAAATTTTTTAATTAATTTTTCTAAGATTTCCATAAGATCTATAGAGTTTCCAGTATATTTTTAGTAATTATTAGCAGCTATAAATTAAAGGAAGATTGGAAAAGAATAATATTAATTAGGAGTTAAATCTTTTTATGATTCTAATGGTATTATTAATTAAGATTCCAATAATTATTAACCTATTTATTGTATTTCTATTTAATTCTTCCAAGTTTATTAAAGATAACTTAAAATATCCTGACCTAATACACTAATATATTCACTAAACTTACAAAATATACTTACATTTAATTAACGAATCCATAAATTACTTTTCTTAATTAAATTTTCTCTATCATATCAGCAGAAATAGCAATATAATTTTCATCTTATACCTATTCAGTTGTTTCAGGCTATAATTATGGACCCAATTATAATCTTTTAACTGATATTAAATTAGCTAAAAATAATTAATAATTTTATACTCTCATTTGGATGATCTTTATAAAATTAATTAATCTTTTCTTCAATACACGGAATAGCTGCTAAATCTTCAACAGTTGGCCTATTATTAGGATCTTTCTATAAAGTCTTATCTATTAGTAATTAAAGATCTTAATCAACAGATTAATCCATATCATATGGTTTATTCTGTATCATCTCAAAAATTATTTAAATATTGTCATGTTAAAATGGTCGTTTTAACATAACCAATTCATATAATGCACAACCTAATGCCCATATATCAGATTTTTTGCCATACGGTTACCCTCTAATGACTTCAGGTGACATAAAGTAAGGAGTTCCTAAAAATGTTTATGCAAAATTGGCATGAGTTCCTAATGCCTTAGAAATTCCAAAATCTCCTAATTTTATAACTTATTCTAATAAAAATATAATAAAATTTAACCTTTATTCAAAAACATATTTTAAGTTTTGATATCTCTATGGAGGATGTTTTTAGAATGCATAAAATGTATTGCAATAACTAATTAAGCCATCCATGCTAATATTTTATCCTTTGGAACCTAATTTCCATATCTTGAATATTCAGATATTTTCTCAGTTAATGATCCTCCTTCTGCATATTCCATTATTATATTCAAAGACTCATTTTCAGTGAAACTTTCATAATATTTAATTATTGTTGGAGCTGTTAGAACTCTTAATAAACTCACTTCATTTTCAGCATTTTTTCTTTCTTATTCATTCATAAAAAATGTTGGAATAACCTAAGTTCATTTATATTTTACTTTCATAGCATATAATTCTTAATCAGTACTTTTCCTTACTAATTCTACAGAACCAGATGCACCTTTGCCAATATTTCTCACAATTGTATAATATCCTTTCTCATTTTAGTTACTCTATTATAAACTTATATAGTTTTATACATTTCGTGACTTAGGCTTTTTTTTTACAAATGTTTAAAGTCCTTGAAGTTTTTTAAAATTGACAGGTTTTACCATATAATCTTCTGCTCCTGCATTTAAACAAGCAGCAACTGTTTCTGTCTCATCATCACCACTCATCATAATCACTGGAACATCTTTCAATTTATCAATACTTGAAGCTCAAATAAAGACTTACGCTTTTATAATTTACAAAAGTTCTAAGCCTGTCATCTCAGGCAGACCCAAATCCAACAAAATTAGATCAAACTCATTTTCTGTTTTCAGCAGTTCATCCCTTGCTTATATACCTGTTTCACAAGCCACTACTTGATAATTACATAATTGTAATAAATCAATTAAAGCTATTCCTAATAAATAGATTGCTATTGAGACTTTAGATAGGAGCATCTTCGGCAAGGAGTACATTTATTATCTCTTTAGCTTATTCATCTCTTTTCACCCTTAACATAAAATTATTTAATAATTAATTCAATTCAAGACTAGAATATACTTGTAAATCATTCAATAATCATTTTAATAAACTATCAGAACCTTTAATTTTTAGAGATAATCAACAAACTAATTGACAATATTTGACTAAAATATTCTAGTATTTATGATGTTTCAAATTTAATCTTTTTTAATTCGACAATTTAAACAAAATTTTTGATAAAAATAAGAAAAATTAATTTAGATTATGAGTATTCATAAATTTATTATTTAAAAATATTATTTGATTCAAAGTCTCTTAATCAAATTACTTTATTATTATTTATCATAGTTCTATTAGAAATAAAAAAATTAATTTATTTTGCTATTAATAATTCTTGAATGATTTTAGTGAATCCACTAAATTTATATTTAATTCAAATTAATTATAATAATATAAAATTTGGATTTTTTAATTAAAAATTATGTAATTTTATTAATTCATTAATAAACATTTAAACTAATTATATAATCTTTGCAATTACTGTTTCATTATTGCAAATTAACATCTTTCAATTATTAATTCAATTAATCACAATATTCAATTATAAAACATCATAAAATTATGTATATAAATTATTTTACTAATTTTTATAAGATAAATATTTCTTAAATCAATAAATTTACTATTCCTATCATGAATTTTAAGATCACTTATTTAAATATANACAGGTTTTACCATATAATCTTCTGCTCCTGCATTTAAACAAGCAGCAACTGTTTCTGTCTCATCATCACCACTCATCATAATCACTGGAACATCTTTCAATTTATCAATACTTGAAGCTCAAATAAAGACTTACGCTTTTATAATTTACAAAAGTTCTAAGCCTGTCATCTCAGGCAGACCCAAATCCAACAAAATTAGATCAAACTCATTTTCTGTTTTCAGCAGTTCATCCCTTGCTTATATACCTGTTTCACAAGCCACTACTTGATAATTACATAATTGTAATAAATCAATTAAAGCTATTCCTAATAAATAGATTGCTATTGAGACTTTAGATAGGAGCATCTTCGGCAAGGAGTACATTTATTATCTCTTTAGCTTATTCATCTCTTTTCACCCTTAACATAAAATTATTTAATAATTAATTCAATTCAAGACTAGAATATACTTGTAAATCATTCAATAATCATTTTAATAAACTATCAGAACCTTTAATTTTTAGAGATAATCAACAAACTAATTGACAATATTTGACTAAAATATTCTAGTATTTATGATGTTTCAAATTTAATCTTTTTTAATTCGACAATTTAAACAAAATTTTTGATAAAAATAAGAAAAATTAATTTAGATTATGAGTATTCATAAATTTATTATTTAAAAATATTATTTGATTCAAAGTCTCTTAATCAAATTACTTTATTATTATTTATCATAGTTCTATTAGAAATAAAAAAATTAATTTATTTTGCTATTAATAATTCTTGAATGATTTTAGTGAATCCACTAAATTTATATTTAATTCAAATTAATTATAATAATATAAAATTTGGATTTTTTAATTAAAAATTATGTAATTTTATTAATTCATTAATAAACATTTAAACTAATTATATAATCTTTGCAATTACTGTTTCATTATTGCAAATTAACATCTTTCAATTATTAATTCAATTAATCACAATATTCAATTATAAAACATCATAAAATTATGTATATAAATTATTTTACTAATTTTTATAAGATAAATATTTCTTAAATCAATAAATTTACTATAGTTATTCAAATTAAAGAATATCTTTTATAATAACTATATTCCTATCATGAATTTTAAGATCACTTATTTAAATATAAATATTCATAATTCAAACGATGGATAAATTACAAATACGAATTTAAGTAATTTCTTTTTATAATAGTTGTCTAAATTAAAATAATAATTTTTATTCAAACATCTATTTAATATATAATTATTAATATTATGAATATATAGTATATTTTGTTAAAACAAATAAAATATTAAAAAGAGTAATATTTTATAATAATTTATTTAAAATATCATTAAAGAAGCTTCTATTATAATTAACTAGAATTAAATTTTTTTTTGGCAATATCATTTTATAAATCTTTAAATTTCTTTAAGATCATCAAAAAATCATTATCAATAGATTCTAAAAATGATTTTTGTAATTTTAATTCATTTTTTGATTCCCCAAATTATTATTATAGCTCTATATAATTTTATTCTAATTGCATTAATGTTATTTTATTTTCATCGCTGATTCGAGTTAATTCTTAAGAAAAATAACTAATATATTTAGTTTCTTTTACTTAATTTCCTAACGTACTTATTATAAATGTGATAAAAATCCTCTTTAATTTTCTGTTATTTCTTAATTTGTTGAATGAACTTGTTTAAATAACTTTTCATTTTAAATAAGTCTATCTTAATTATCTTTTAATTAGACATTTATTTGCTATTCAATTTTTTTGGAAAATTAACTTTCTTTTTATGACATTTTATTCACTTGTTCTATTAATAGCTTTAACTTTTTATCAAATTATTCAATTTTCTACATTATACCTTCTTCATTAGATTTAGTCTTACAATCAGTTTTAGTTAACTCAGTATTAGCTCTACCTACTTAAGAGCGAGATCTTAAAGGTTTTTAAGATTTTATCTATTAAGTATCTTACTGTTGTACTGCTTGAGGAGAATAAATGTCTATATCAGATTATTGACTAAATTTTCCTGAATTAAAAAACTTTAATACTTTATTTAATTTGCTCTGATTATGTATCATTATTTTCTTTTTATGAAAAATATTACTCTTGTGGCTTAAATTAGCTTAATTAAGTATTTATATTTTTTATTTCTTCTCTATTATCTAATCTTTATTCTAATTCTAACAATTTATCTTCAATCATTTTCAAAATTTAAGCAAATAATTATTTGCTAATCACTTCTTACTAACAATTAGCTTCCAAAAATAATGACAGTCCTAAAGGATTGAATTATTAAAATTCAGCAGATTCTTTAATAATACATTTATTTTGATGTTATTCTTGATTAGATTAGTCTTATAGCATGAATTCAAATAGAGTATAATTTGTTTATTACATAAAATTTATTATGGGAAATTTTGTTAAGAATTAAGAAGTAATATAGAAAAATTAGGATGAAAGTAAATAGAAAATAATAAAATTTTTAGTAACATAGAGTTTAGTCCAAGATTCTCCTAATATTTTGATAAAACAATCTAAAATTGGAAATGTGGAGATTATAAAATTGAATATGTAAATAATTGAAGTGGAATTAATCTATGATTCAGTTGATAAAATCTAAGTGGATTTAATATATAGTAGTTAAGTAAATTGTTCATTATCATTCTACACATTTATAACAGAGATTAAGGGATCTAAATAACAAAGGTTTAGATTATAATAATACTAATTAGATTTGAAAGAACTATGTAAGAGAGTATAATTTAGAAGTTCAGATGTCCCTAAGGTTTGAATCATCAATTTCCTTCTCGATATATTGAATTTATGATTACAGATTTGCTAAAATTTAACAGAATAAAGACCACTCCTGAAGTTTAGCATCATACTCTTATAATTGAGATGGTAAATTTATATTTTTCATTTAGACAGAGAAGTCTTACATCCAAAAGTATTTAGATAATATACTTTTATAAGATAGATTGTAATGAATAAACATTTCGATGTGAATTAATAAATACTAAATAAATAATAGTATACAAAAATCGTATATTTGAAATTCATGAATTATATGGAGTTAAAAACACTCCTTTTAATCCAGAATGGAATCCCAATACTGTTGAAGATAAAGAATGTGTAATATGCTTTTGTAATATGATAAACACTGTTCTTTTACCATGTAAACATATGTGCACTTGTTCAATATGTGCTGATCATATATTAATGAATTAAAAAGTAAAATAATGTCCACTGTGTAGAATTGATATTGATAATTATTTAACTTTAGAAATTAAAGATAAAGTAAAGTAAGATTTATAATTACGATAATTTTAAGAAGAGTAATAGAGATATTTAGAAGCTTTTAAGGAGAAAAAGGACAACTAAGCTATCAAATAAAGTTAAATTATAGAATAATTAAAATCTAAGGTTCATTAAGATTAAATGCAAAAATTAAAATTATTTAATGATATTGATGATTTCCAAAGAAATAATTAAAATAATCAAGGTTTTTACAGCAATGAAATTTGTTATTCAAACGAAGAAAATCTAAGTGAACGTGATAATAAATAAAATTAAAATTCATCTCATGGTAAGATCAAATAATTTAGTGAAGAAGACATTAACTTAAAAGCTATGTAATTTAGTGAGGATGATAAATAACGTTATTCATCAAACTAAAGAATCAGTAGCTATGATTTAAAATAGGAAGGAGGAATTATTAGTAGTTTTTAACATTCTCAAGAAAAATAAAACGATTAATAATAATAAAATTCTGATGAGAGCGATATTTCTCAAGAATTTCCATAATCTTCATCATCAAAATAACAATAGTGTTAGTATTCATTTGATTATTTAAATTATGATGAATAATCTCATTATAATACTTAATAGTAATTACCTAATACTGAAAGATAATTTGTTTCAAAGCAACAATTTCAATTTGTTTAGGGAATTGATAAAGCCCTTCCAACTATACCTGAATATTTTAAAGAAAGTTCGGATTTTTTTTAATAAATTATAAATAATGATAAAGATGATATCATAAAATAGAATAATTTTGACAATCAATAAAATAAATAATTCGATGAATATTCTTCAATATAATCATAGGAATTATACAAATCTATATAATAATAATAATAATAATAATAATAATAATAATAATAATAATAATAATAATAATAATAATCAAATAGATCATTAATGAAATAAAAAAATTAACAAATATAATTTTGTTAATTATAATAAAATAATTTTGAATAAGAAGATGTTATTTTGAATTAATTTTTTTAAAATGATATTTTTCAAGAAGTTGGAAATGATTAAAAAAAACAAACAGAGTTAGAAAATGATATTCCTTAAGAACAACTAATTAATAGTTATGTTTCAATAAATAAATAATAAAATGAAACAGATTGTAATAATAATATTTAGAATAAAGACACTTTAAAATAATAGGAAGATCATGAAGATTATAGTTTAGTTTAGAAAAATAATAATCTAGACTAAAATAATTATGAAGAGAAATTTTCATAATAATAAATATAACAACAAGTTTAAGAGAAGAATTACCCTTGTAATTAAGAATAAAAGAGCGATTAAATTTCATTAATAGTTTTTGATTGATAATGATTTTATTATGATATCAATGACACACTCATATTTCAACGGCATCTTATTATTAAGGTTCTTCATCATCATCATAAATTTCAAGGAAACCTTCTTATCTTTAAGGAAGGACTTTCTTTCCTTATTATGGGAAGCAGAAGCATTAAGTAGTTGGCAAAACAAATTATTTATCTTACATTAACTACTTTCTTTTCTCTAATTCTTGAACAACGTTGTCAATATTAGTCAATGAAACATTTTCATATTAATCACCAGCTAAACAAATTGGACTAAATAAATAAGAGTATATAAATACTCTTTCATAGGTGTGCAATCTTCAACTGGTTTTGGAGTTGGTTGATAAGTTATGTCACAAGCGAATAAATTCAATCCTTAAATAAATCCTTAGAAAGCATCGGTTAATTAATCTTTTCCATAGTAAAGAATAAGTGATGGAGCAACATAATGATTGACATTCTTGAATGATAAAGCTCCCTTTCCTTATGAATGTTCAACAATAACATCAGCTTATCTACTCTTTCTTGAATAAGCAAAGTAAATATGGAACCAATCTTTTACAAAAGTCTTACCTTCAACAATCTATCTAACTTCTGGGTTACCAGATCTAATAATATAATTATATTAATTACCCTAATTGATCAGTGTATGTATAAGTGTAGAAATTAAGTGTTTAATCTCTAGTATCAAAGTAACAACTAAGTGTATCAAAATTAAGTGCATCTTCACCAGCAAGAGTAGTTGTTAATCTGAATAACAATTAATCTTTTTCAGATGTCTTACCATTCCATTTAAACCATCCTTAAACAGAATATTATTCAGTTGTTCCGAATCTATCACCAGAATTAACTGGATTTCCATTGAATTATGAAGCCTTGGCTGATACTGCTCTAATCAAACCTTTACTTGAACAATCCTTTTATGGTTGAGGATTGCAACTTAAACAGAATGGATTATATTCTTCTAATGTATCAAAGAATGATCCTGATCCTAATCTTAAAACTGGTCTATGGAATTAACCATTAAATGAATAATATCTATCTTATGGATCCTTTCCACCAACTTAGAATAATAATTATTCCATTCTTGGATGTGTGACTTTGGCTTCTAAAGTAATTGGAGCTTAATTCTCAATCTAATAGAATGCAATAGCCTTATATCTAGTGTAACTGAAATATGTGTAAATCCAAACTCCTTCAATATCTCCAAATGGTTAAGCTAATTCTACTAATTTTTTAGCTTTATTATTAGCAGTGATATAAAAGAAACCAACTTTTCCTTAGAAAATAGTTAATAAACCATCTCTAATATCTTTTGGTGTTTCCTTCTTGTTTGTAAGACGAGCAATCAATGACCAATCTGGTCTACCATTTTCATATTATCCACCTGCCAAACCAGTATATCTGAACCAGAATCCATAACCATATTAAGTAGTGTCTTTCAAATCATCTTTATGTAATTCAACATGAACAACTGGACCTTTATCATATTTTGCATTAATAATTCTATTTGGTCCTTCAACACATCTCTTTTTAGGGGGAGGTGGTGTTGGTACTGGTCTTAAAGCTGGTTTAACATTTGTTAAATAAGATCCTTTACAGAAGAATACTTCAAGATAGGCCATAAATCCACTGTAGACTGGGAATTGTCTCTCTCTTCCAAAATAGAAATAATGCTTTGGTGATACAAAGTGATTGACATTGACGAAACTTAAAGATTTAGCATGAACATGTTTGAATAAGACTTAAGCATATGCCTTTCTTTAATCTCTGCTGTAACCAAAGTATACAAAATGCCAATGTAAATGTTAATCTTAATGTTGAACATATTGATGTGCATTAGGATTACCAGATCCTTTCATATTTGCATAAGAATATGTTGAAAAGTGGATTTATCCTCCTTTTGGTTTACCTAACCAAGCAGCCAAAACTCTTTCACCTAATAAGATTTATTATTTTCTTAAAGGTGTATTTGATAATCTAAACATGGTGTGCCAGTTCTCTTACAAATCTGTTTCTTCCCATTTGAACCAACCTTAAACTGCATATTCATCAGGTAATAATAAGTCAATAAATTCTTATGTTGGTGGTGCATTGTTATCTTCAATATCAACATATGTTGATTCTCTAGCAAATTAATATGGAACTAATTTTTATGGTGCAACATATGGTTAAGGATTGCATGAAATAGCATATTACAAGAATTCTTATTCATTAATTAAATAAGTTCCCAAACCAATTGCTAAAACTGGTCTACTAACTTGACCATTGAATCCTGGGAAATCGAAATATTGACCTCCCAAAACAAATCTCAAATATTTTGGAGTTCCTTAAGATGCTGGTAATGTCACTTATTTAACTAATTGACTGTTTGATTGTTTATAGAAACCAATAGCTTATTATTGATAGGCTGAATAACTATAATAAACATATGTCCAGACAGCTTCAATATCTCCAAAAACAATAGCAGCTGTAGCTTCTTTTCTTTCAGGTTTATCATGTTAAGCACTGAAAATGTATTATTCTTAAGTTTAGAATATAGTTAATAATCTATCACCAATTTTATCATCTCCATCCTATTAATTCTTTGTCAATTTAGCAACAAAATAAGATTAGTCAGTTAAACCAGTTTATAATTATTCTGGATACAATGTTAAAAATCTCATCCAAAATCCAAAACCATATTCATTTACATCATTCAATTTCTTAACTTCTGTTTCAACAGTTGGTTAATCAGCAGAGATAGAACTTGTTAATACTATATCTGATCCCACAACACATTTTGGTTATCTTTATTATGGGAAAGGAATGTCACAACCTACTTCTTCAGGTACTGGATGATCATTTTATCTGTAATTTCCTGGAACTACTCTTTATTTAGATACTTTTCTTTATTAATATCTATCACCACATTTATCTTTTATGGCAATTATTCTTTCTTTTTATTCTTTTATTCTTTATTATGGTTATGGCTAAACTGATTAGGCTCTAGGCTATGGTTATGTTGTTTATTAATATTGGTTTTATACTCTAGAAATTTGTTTCAATAAATATTCAATCAATCCATATAACATAGCCAATTATGATCTCTTTTATTCAAAGGATCCTATTAAATCATTAATATTATATTATACTTGATTCAATTACTCTTCTGATTTAGTCTGAAATTTGTCTGCTTTATTCAAATAAGAATTTTCTTTGAGGACCATTGTATTAATTCTAAATTGTTTATAATTATTCATCCATTTATTCTAATTATTCATCATATTATTGGTCTTCCATTATATCATTTGGATTTGCTAACTTTTTAATAAAAATAATTACCAGATATCATTTCATTTGTAAAATCTGAAAGTTCTTATAGTTACTTCATTTCTGCATCTAATTATCCACCTTATAACAATTCTATTATTTCACTCCATGAATCAAAGTCTTAAAGCATTTATACAAAGTCTGTATTCTCACAGTCAACTTCATTTTATTAATCCAGAAGTGTTGTCAAATCATAGTGCAATGCTTACACAAAGCAAACTAAACAGTTTTTAAATATATCATACCTTGCATTATAATAACACCTATTAAAACTAGATGTTTTGTTCTCATTTTATCCGTTTTAAAAAATAATTATTAATTATAAAATCCCATTAATATTTCATTATAAAGTGGGTGATTATATTTTAGTCTAATCTATGTAATAATAGTAATAAGTTTGTTGTCCCTTCAATCATTTGCATAAGATGGCTCCTAATAGGCTTATCTTTCACATATCTAGGGAATGCTAAGAACGTAAAATGAACAAGCATATGTATAGACACTGTCCATACAATTTCCTGCATATATTTAGAGGAGAAGTATTTAATAATCTAATCTAGGACATGGAACAACATATAATGATTTGTCCTGATAAAAAAGAACCTGATGCTCCCATCTAATTAGACCAGAACAATATGGAAAACCAATATTTGTAAGGAGATCCTAATTGGGGCTTGAAAAATCCTAATAATATGGCAATTGAGATGGCAATTAACAATAATTAAGTTCAATAGGATAGTAGTCTTATAGATTAATTCAATAATCTTAAGTTGCAGAGATAAGATGATATCTGGGATCAATTATGGAAACAGCAAAACAATAATGAAGATGATTTTGATATGGTATGATGAAACCAAATATAATTCATAATAGATTAAATTCAAATATTTAATACACCTATTTTCTTTGAATTAATATTAAATCATGTTGATCTGATGTTCTGTCATTATTTATATATAGAGTAATAAATAATTTATTAAACAAATCCATATTCAATTTAAAAATATTATAGAAAATTTAGATTCTAATCTATGTAATCCACATAATTAATAAATAAAAATGGATTAACAATATTTAAAGACTCAATTAATAAGAATTGTAAAGATAATATTAATTATAATTTATATTTTCAGTATCTGATTAAAATTAGGTCTTTTTAAATTTATAATTAATTTTTTTCATATATCTTTAGAATATGGTATATAGCAAATAATATAATTAGATATTTAAAAATAATTAATTTTTAACCTAGTATTCCTTTCAAATTATATTTAAGTTAATCAATTTAGAAAAATAGGATATGTATTATTTTATACATTTATATCTGAAAATGTCTCTCTTAAAATGAAATAACTATTATTACAAAAAATAATAAGGATTTTCATTTAATGATTAGTTGGGAAATGGTTTTCTTATTAAATAATGATTTAAACTAATGAGTCGAACTCATTTTTGGATTTTTCAGAGATGGAACAAGAATCAGAACCTCGAACATCAAAAAAGGTTAGAAAAAACCCTATTTAAAATGATGAAGATTCTTGGAATGAAGATTTTTAATACATATCTCAATTCAGAAGTAGCTTTAAAACAAGAGGAAAATAAGTTTCATTAAGAGAAATTTATTTAGAATAAATAGAAAATGATCCAATATTTTGGAAATGTGTTCTGCATCCAAAATTATTAGAATATTTAGAAATTCATCATTATAATGATATTTATGATTATGTCAAATATTGCAACAAAAAAGGACTCTTACTAGATTAACCAATTAAAAAATGTATATAAATCATCAATTATTTAGTTTTTTAGGAGCCATTCGAAATCCCTAAATATAATTATTATTAAATGAAAGAAATTCATGAAAAAAATTATACTTAGAGATGTATAGAAAGTTTGGTTGATGAAGTTAAAAAATTGAAAATATCTAAAGTACATGAATTTCCAAAAAGTAATAATGGAAATATAATTAAATTTTATGATTCAGAAGCATTAAGGGAACAATATCTAAGATAAGAATAGATTAAAAATAAATAAAGAGAGTTAGGAAGATAAATTAAAGAGAGAAAATTATAAAATGATAGAAAAGCAGAGGAACTTAAACCAATTTATGAAGAGTTTCCTCTTGATTAACCTATAAATGAAGAAACTATCAAAACTTGTATATTGGAATTCATCAAATTCAATTTTTCAATTGTTGAATTATTCTAACCTATAAAATAATTAAGAGATCTAAATTAGGATGAAGAAATAGATTATGATTTTCTATCAGAAGATTCTTTACAAGAGATTTGTTCCACACATCCTAGAGAAAGAAAGAATTTTTATACTTTAAATTTTGCCAAAAGGGTTTAAGTGATATAGGTTGTAAATCTTTTCAGCTTTTAGAAGAATGAAACTGTATTTTGATATGAATAATAATTTATGAAAATATTAAACAAGAAGCTATCATAAAGGGGAGCTTTGAAAAAATAAAATTTTATTCTTTTTGCATATAAATTATATTAATTTTATGATATTATTCTTTAAATTAGTAATATAATTATTTGATTATACTTATTTGTAATTTAGAGTATTCTAAGAAAGAACTTTTAAACAAAAAATATTATTAAAGAATCATATTAGGGGATGAAAATATATAATTTATTATCACTAAATATTCAAGTTTGCTCATAAAAATAATTATTTATGTCATAATTTCTTTACACCTTATAAGTAGTTTTAAAAGTCATTTTATGATGATATTATATTTTCTATATTACTTTTAATAATTTTAGATCTTTTTTAGAAGAGCATCTACTTTTTTTCGTTAGTTTGTTTAAAATTTTCATATTATGTAATCAATCTCTTAAACTAGATATTAATACTAATTACACTTTTTATTAGTCAATAATATTAGATTTGTTTTCTTATAACAATTCTATTGCTTCATTAAGTAATTCAATTAGAGACAGCTCTCTCCAACTATTTAAAGGAACATTAATTGATCTGTCAATTTTTTTCGTCTTTGTTTCAGTTAAGTATATAGATCTATTTGATTCTTTTGAAGAGATTTCAAACGGAAAGTTAAACGATTTGCCAAAACTTGATGATCTTTTAGGGGCTGATTAATTCATTTTTAACAGATAAATTTTTAAATAGAAAACAATAAAAATATTAAAATTGAAATGATGATTAAATAGAAAATGTTTAATAAATAAATATCTGATATAGAAGAATAAATTAATCAACAATTTTAATATATAATTAAAGAAATTAAGTAGTTCTAGACAATAAATTTTATTTCAAAGACTTAAGATAGTAATAGATATTTATTTATATTTTATCTATTAATTAAATAGGATAATTTAGTAATTCTATATAGATATATATACTGAAATATATTTAAGTAATTAGTTATTCTAAAAAAATATTCATTTTGATTAGTTTTACTTTATTAAATTATTAAAGAAACCTAAGTTATAAAAATTATCTTATCAATTTAGATGAAAATAAAACAATTGAATTTATTGTATGTTTATAATTAATTATAATAAATTATGATTGGCTATTTCTTTACAATAAATATTAGATGAAATCATATTAAGATAATGATTGACATATTAATTTAAGATAGAAAATTTTGAAATTAAAGATTTTTCTTAATTTATTATCCAGTACTTTATTAACAGTAAATAATAATACTTTATAAATATTATTATTTTTGATTTTTTTATCTAATATATATTAGAAATATAAAATGATAATTGACAGCATAATTATATTAATTAATGTACGTTTATTCTGATAATGATTGAAATTTTATTATAAATGAGGTTGATTTTATAGATTTTATGAGGGCATTTTATTAATTGTAAAAATTAATATTAAAAATGGATAAAAGTGTTGAATCTCTTTTTACATCAGATTTTTGGAGATAAGTGAATCTATAATATTTTATGGTAGAAACACCAATATCATTAAATATTTAGAAAAAAATATACAAAAAAAGTAGGTGTTAAATGTTAGTTTTAGCTTCCCATCTTTTTAGTATATAAACTTAAGGATTGATAGAAAAAATATTGAAACCTATGAAAAAAAATAGATCATAACTTAATAAGTTAAATAACAATAACTTATAGCTACATTTAAGTTTATTGTTAATGTAAAGAGAAAAATCATTCGAGCCAATTCAAGAATTAATTGATGAATTGATTGATAAGATTTGTGAGTAAGAATTAAGAGATGGGTTGGAATCAAATAAGTCTTTGCTAAAAAATATGAATTAATTACCTTTAGAAAAATAAATAGAGATTTTATAATAAGAAGCCGCAATATTATAATGTATATAACAATAGATAGATTGGCCTGATCAATTGGAATAAGTAATAATGGAATTAGAAGATGATTTAATAAATGTTTAAAACAAGAATATCAAATAACTTAATAAGTATGTTATTTATTAAGTTTTAGTCTTGCAGGTCATTTAGAAGAAATCAATAAATATTTATTATATTAATATACTGTTAAACAAATAGGTCAATTTGCTTTAAGAATTACAAGAAATCGGGTTTAACATCAATAAAATGAACTAGAGAATCTAGAAAAATTGATAATTCATTATTAAGATTATTAAGTAGCAGAGTCTATGGGAAAGGCCATATATAATTAAGAAAGTATATAATTTAATAATTTATATAGCTAATTTAGTGACTGTTACTTTTGATTCATATTTAAGCAGAACTCCTATAGATTTAAAACTAGATTAATTTCAAAATTTATAAAGACTTCGTGATTTACAATTGGAGTTAAGCGTTTAATAATAGGAAATTTAAGAAGAAGCATAAACTATGGTTTTGATTCAAACTGAAATGTGTCATATATGTAGATAAATGATAGAAATAACCAATTTATAATAATGTAAATATAATCATGTAAATATGAATTTACATTAATACAATGATGAAATACTGATCTAATAGAGATATACAATTACCTAAAAATAAATGCAATAATTTTATATAGATCTTTATTCTGCTAATTATATTATAGAAAGTAAATAACAATATTTATAATAAGATAATTAAATCCAGTGCTAAAAATATTTCTGTTTTAAATGCTTGAAGTATGAATTTGAAAATTATGATCTTTCTGAACCCAATTGGATTTGTCCATTATGTAAAGTATGTAATTTATTACTATTCAAGGGATTATGTACATGTATTAGATGTTAACGAACTGATTCTATTTATAAATTAAAGAGAACCTTTTTAGAGATTGGAGGTAACTTAGATAATTTGTATTAATAATCAATTTTTGAGATGTTAGTTGAAGGTAAAAGAAGGCTGATTTAAAACATTCCTTTAGATTTCATTAATATTTAGAAATTGCAATCAGAAAATGAAGAAACCCTTACTCCAAAAGGTTTATCTTAGAATAAGAATAGGATCAATAAAAAGATTAAAAAAAAGAAAAGCAGTGAAACTACAATTATTGGAAAAACATAATCTATAATTATGGATACATCTTCATCATCAATTAAAATCAAGAAAATAAAAGAATATAAGCGACTTATTCCTAATCAAAGTACTATTTTTGTATAATGATCTATATTAATCTTTAATGCTAACATTATAAATTCAGTAGATAAATAAATATTATTCAGATTCCAGTTAATAAATTATCTATCTTTTACATAGATTACTATCCAATTTTGGAGAACTATGAATTGTTAATTTGCTAAGGTGTTCCATTCAAATTTTATTAAACATATGGATATTAATATTATTACATATATTAGGATGGTTAAAAATTTATTGGAGGAGGATTCTGAGAATATATTGGAACTTGATTTTAATGTTATATTGGTAAGTTTTAATTGTATTACTATAAGTAATTTTATTACTATTATTGAGAGTAATTATAATAATTATGATATGGTCCATATATGTAAGGATCTATATAATCTAAAATATCCTTCTTCATATTAGATATCATTAATTCTTATTTTTTTATTAATTGCTCTTCTAATTGTTTTAATTCTAATTGTCTCTATTCATTTTTTTTTCTTTCTTTTTCTTCTTTTTTCTTTTAAATACTTTTTTCATCTAAGATGTATTATTATTAATATGGATTATAGTTCTACATATAGGGTGCAAATGTATAAGGTTATTATGGAGGATAACCAGAAGGATAAGAGAACATTTAATTATTTAAGTGTTAAGGTTCTCTTGTTGGCATTGATTGAAAATTATAACCTTGAGGTGATCTATGATTTAAAGTTAAGACTCTTTCTTGTAATCCTTTAAGTCTTCTATCAAATTAATATTACTCAAAATCTATTCCTAATGACATTAAATAAGTTATTAAAATAAAACAATTACAAATTATTATAATAAAATAATCAATTTAAGTATTTTGATAAGCATCTTTCTAATCGTGTAGCAGCATATATAAAGTGTAATTCTAAAATAAAATAAAAAAGTACTTTCATATGTTCTTCTTTGCCCTTCTACTTTCATTCTCTATACTGTAAATTCATCAGGATTATCTAAAAGTTTAGAATAATCCAACCATAAAAATTTAGGCCATATAGTTATATTTCCTTCATACTTTTGTATCAATAAATTAGACATTCTACATAACATTTTTGGCAGAAATCCTATACTAATAATTTATTGAATTCTGTATTTAATTTCTCCTAATATAAATTGTAATAATTTATCAGTAATCTTTTTAATGATAGTATGGTCACTTCTATGAGAAGTAAGAAAGGGAAATACCCAAGGATTAGTTTGTGATACTATAGTATAATTGATGTTAAATTATTCTGCTAATTATTACATAGGTAAATCAGCACTTATTGATCCATCAACATATTTTATTTCTCCTTCATAGATTTCCCCTTATTCATTTTTGTAATATAAATGAGAAGCTCCATACACTCCAGGTAAAGAACAAGAACAGCAAACTGCTGACCACACTATTACATTAGGAGAAGTAATATAATTAAGCAAACAATCAGATGATGAACAATCCTTTCCAGTAACCATAATGTTCATTATTTTTCCTGTCTTCTTATATGCTTCCAAAAATGTGACATCTCCATAAGCCTTCTATAAAAATTATTGCATTTATTCCTTCTCTAACATATATCCTTTAGTTAATAATCTACTTATTTTATCTAGAATATCAAATTAGGTTTTTTATTCGAACATTGAATAATCATAATATTTTGGTTAAAATATAGTTTGAATATCTGTAGCTGTTCCAACTAAACTAACTAATATAGCTCCTGCTGAACTACCAGTCATAACTTTAGGTAATAAATGCAATTTATCTAAAATATTAGCTATTCCACAACTATACAATCCCATAATTGCACCACCTGAAAATAATAATGCCGTTTATCCTATTGCCTTTTGTAATTCTTAAAAAAATTGAATTTTGTTTGGAAATTCAGAGTTATATAAAAATTCTAAACAGTTCTCATATTCCTAAGAATAATTTAAGAATAATTTACTTCTTAAAATTCCTCTATTAAGTTCTTTGTTTTCATGAATGCATGAGAATATAATTTTGGATTAAGGATATTTCCTATGTTTCTATTTGCATTTTATCTAAGCAATTGACAAATTAGAGGGATATTCTTATCCTATTTTGCCATTCTCAACTTTTGGCTCAAACTCTTTATATATTTATATTGATATAGATTGGATTCCTCTTTTTATAACCATTATTATATGTAATCTTATTAGTCGTGTTCCTTTACTAATTCTAACCATTTCTCATAATTTTCTTCTTTATCAATTATTTTTAAAGACTTTTATCTTTTTCTATTTTGTTCAAAAAACATTGTTATACAAGCCAATAGGTACTTAATTAGTTTAAAAATAATGTTCATTATATTAATTATTGGTAATTAGGTAATCAATTTTTGTGGTTTAAAACTTAATATTATAATATTTTTTAAAGATTATCTTATATTAATTATTTTATGATATTCAAGATTATTAATTAATATATATATATATATATTTAAAACTATGTTATAAATGTCCAAAACATTAATGCTATAATATAATTAAGAAGTATACAAAAATGAAAATATTTATGGATATCAAATTAAAATCTATATAAAATATTAATTACCCGTTTTTATTATATTAAATAGATGAAATAAATAGTGCTTTTTGCATTGTTGGCATGTGTTGTTTTCACACATAATGATATTAAGCATGTGCAAGAATTACTTGGAGAACTAAAGGACGAAATTCATGAGTAAATCGTAGCTTTAGATGCTGAATGGGTGTTAACATAAAAAGTATTGATTATTAAATATGATAAAAGATGAAACAAGCTAGTATTTAAGCATTAAGATAAACAAAAGTTGATTAAGAGGCTGATTGTGATAGAAGAGATGAAAATGTAATCAATAAAAAAACAGAAATTTAAGAAATGTCTGATTTAATTGCATGGATCCAACATAGAATTCATGTCAATAAAAATAGAATTCAAACTATTGAAGATTTATAATGTAGACAATCTTTGAACTTTGTTGACACAGTCAGAGATGATAAAATTTCATTAACAGTCTCAATATTTGTTAAAGAATAACTTGAAAAAATTGTATCAGAAGGCACTTCATTTGCATAAAAATCATAAGCAATGAAAAATATCCTATCATTCCTTTAAGATATAAAAGAGTAGAAATATGAATTTTTGGAATTAACAAGAACAATGGAAATTGAAAGAGAAGAAAACCCTAATATGATTGAAACACATATGGGCCCAATTGAAATGAAGAAATTCTAAGAAGTTAGACATGAAATCTTAGCAGTTTTAGATGAATTAGAGGCTCAAATTAATTCTCATATTCCAATTGCACAAGCTGATATGATTAGAGTAGGATTAGCTTATCTTGAATGGAAATAAAGAATCCTTAAAGAAAATGAATTTTTTGAATAAAAGATTGTTGAATTAGGAAAATAATTAGTAAATTTAATTTATCTAAAGTAATTAGGAAAATTTAGGTGATTAATTGCTAGCCTTAGAATACAGTGCAAAATAATGCAGAGAAAGAGTAACAGACATTGAAAGAGCTATTGAAGTAGCAAAAAATGATAGTGTACTAGCTTACAAAGATTATGTTGAGGAACATGAAAGGTTACTTAAACAATTAGCTATTTTCTCACAATTATATTAATTATATGATAAAGAAATTGATAATAAAACAACAGAAGCAGAAAAAGAAGCATTGACAGTAATCATTTAATATTATCAAATAGTAAGAAAGAAATGATCATCCTATTGTTGGTGGAGATAAGAGTTCATTACCTCCTTAATATAGAGATGAACCAGAAGAACCTCTTATTGTTGGTGGAGATTAGAGCTCATTACCTCCTTAATATAGAGATTAAACAGAGGAAGTAGAACCTATTGTTGGAGCAGATGAGAATTCTTTACCTCCTCCAGAAGGTGTTGAAGAGACAGAGGTTGAATCAAATGAAGAATAAGAAGCTATGATTGTTGGTAATGATGAAAGTTCATTACCTCCTGAATACCAAGAACCTGTTGAAGTTCCAGAATTAGAAGAAACTGAGGATTAAGAATAAGTAATATTATTCTTTTAATTATTTAGTTATTGATTAAAAGAGGTCCTTTAAAACTCAGAGAAGTTGAAACAGCACCATCATATAAGAGATCTGATTTCATTTTACTTTAAATGAAATAAAGAAAGACAGAATAGGATGAAGTAATTTTATGATGATTTCCAATACCAATCATTATATAAATTAATTTGAATATTTATCATAGAAATTAGTTTCTTTGTTTGTCTATAAATGTTTATCCTTAGACTATATTATGAAACTATATAGAATCACAAAAAAAGTAAAGTAATCAATTTCTTTTATATGGCTTTTTTTGGCTCTCTGTAAATGTCAATTTCATTCGACTTAATTTTTCCTTTTATTATTATATCTCTAATCTTAATTCTTCTATAGTTTTATCTGTATTATCAATCTAAATCACTGTTTTATTAGGTGTTTTTATTCCTGTATTTATAGTTGGACTTCCAAAACTTTAAGATTTATTGCCTTAATAATAATATTAATAATATTACTTAATTATGTAGTTTATCTATTTTAAATAGGTGATTTTTATGTACTTTTATTTGGAGATTAAGATTTCATTTTAATAGGCTATTAAATGATATTTTCTAATTATGTGATTTATAATTAGTAATCTTATTAAATTTAATCTACTTTTTTTTCTTATCTAAGTTTCAATTCTTAATATCTTTATTCAAAATATTATCTCTCTTTATTCATTGTATATTCAGAGAATTGTTATTATGATATTCTAAAATATTAATATATATAATACAATTCTTCTTATTATTCTTTAATAAGTTTATTTAAATTCATTAATTCTAGTTCATAATTTTATTTTTATTCAATGAATAGTTATTCTTGTAATTATAATTGCTTTTAGAATTCTTCATTTTCTTTATTAAGTAATTAAATTTAAGTTTTAAATTCATTATCATTAGCTTTAGATATTATTAATTATTCTATTTACTATTATTTTTATTTTAATTTAATTTAACCTTCTTCATAAATTAATTATTCTGATTATTTAAATTGTCTTTTTAAATTATCTAATTTTTTCTCCATTTCCATATTTAATTATTCAATTTCATATTATTTTTCATTTTCTATCATTTATAACCTATTTTCTGTTAACATTACTTATTTTTTATATAGATTTTATATTATTTATTTACAATCACTTTCTAATTACTTTTATTTATTTATGAAAGTATTTTTTAATTCTATAAGTTATATAGTCATTAATTCTTTTTATCTATTTAAAGCTCTAATTATTCTCTATTTTAAAGTTTTTTATTTAAATTTTTATTCATCAAGTAAAACTTATAATTAATTTTTTTCATTATTCAAAATATTAATTTATTTTCCTATTTCATCATTTTACATTTTATCTTTTTTAATCATATCTTAGATCTCCTATTTTGCACATTCTAATTAATCATTATTAGATTCTAAATCTTAAATTATTTATTAATTCTAAATTTATAAAAATTCAATTTAATTATTACTTTCAATTTGATCTTTTTATAATTCAATAATAATTTTATTTTGTTCTTCAATTTTTTATTTAAATTCATTTCTTTATTTTCTATTTTCAGATTATTATTCTTATAATTAAGATTAAATTTTATTATTTTCTTCATTAAAATTATCTTGTAATAACATTAATTTTTAATCTTTTTCTTACAATTCCATATTATATTATTCTTCTTTCTTATTAATTTCATCCATACATTTTTTAATATCCTCTTTATGTTATTTCAATTTTTATTCAATTTCTTATCCTAATCTTTATAATGAAAATGATCCCTATATTGAAATATCTAATAAATGTTAAATATGTTATAAAAATTATTAATATTACTAATTCTCCTTTTCTATTTCATTAATATAGTCTTAATTTTCTCTTAAAGTGTTGAAAGTTTATTCTTAAAATACTTTAATATCATCTAATTCTGAAAATACTGCTTTTAATTTTTAATCTTTTTTTGTAATATCCAATTCTAAATTTCTATTTTTATTTTCTAATTCCTATAAATCTTAATTTTATTAATTTAATTCATCATTTAATTAATTAAATTCCATTTCTAAATTTTATTATTACCGTTACATTTTCTCTAATTCTAAATTTTATTGATATAATTTATCTTTTTATGTCTTAACTTCCTTAATAAGGTCTTAAATTTATTTATCTTTATCTACGACAACTTATTCAAAGGAAGTAGTTAAATTTTCTTCTAAGTTTAATTTTTCAACTAAAAATTATTATTCCAAATCTTAAAATTATTTAGTATATTATTATTCCATCTATTTAAGATTTTATTTATGATTAATTTATAATTAATTTAATTGATTTTCAGATTCTTTTATTAATTCTTAAAATTCATCTAATTATTCTTATTGATATTATTAAATATTTTAAGCTTCTTTTAATCTGTTTTTCAAATCATTTATTTTATTATTACTTTTTTCTTTTAATTAATCAAGTAATTCTTTTTATTTAGATAATTCTTAATTTTTTTTTGTTTTAAGTTTTTCAATTTCATTTTTATATATTTCAATATCCTAATCTAATTATTTATTGAGATCCATTTACTGTTATGACTTTCTTTTTAATTCAGTAAGTTCTTTTAATGTACGTTCACATTCATTTTTAAAATCTCTATTTTATCTATCTAATTATTAATTTAATTAGTTAAGAGACTCATTTCTAGATCTCATATCATTAAAATCAGAGTTTAATTGTTTATATCGTTAATCAAATTATAATAAATTATCTTTAGCATTTAAATTCTCTTTCAATAATTATTGTTCTTTGGATTGTAATTCCTTTATTTACTTATTGAACTTATCATTTTATAGTTAATATTTCTAATTTTGAAATTTAAATTTACTTAAAGTTATGTTTCTGAAGCTTCTAGCAAATCCTAAAGTTCTTAAACTTCTCTTATTTGCTATAATTGAAATTCTCTTTGTTTAGAATCAAACTCTTGAATAATAGTTTCTTCCCTTTCTAAAAACTCTCTTTTAATTTAATCATTCAGTGCCTATTCTTATCTTAATTCTGCTTATAAACGATGAATTTCATCTGTAAACTATTTAGAGAAAGCTTCAAGAGTGATTTCTTTAATTCTATTAAATATTATGCTCTTAGAATCCCTATTTGATTCAATAGCTGAGTCATGTAAAATCTTGGTTGAGATATCCAACAAACACTCTAAGTAAATAATTTAATTGGATATTACATTCTAATTGAGATTGACTATTAAATAGTTTAGACGATGATAGCATGTTTAACGTATATATAAATATGAAAAAATTAATTGTTTTTTCAATTAACTATTGATTTTTAATATGCTAGCGAATATATATTAAGTTCTAGAATTTGTAAATATTTTTAAGTTATTATAGTTTTGTAGAGTAGTTTGATGATTGAATATATACATTAAAAGAGTATTTATTAAAGATAGTTGAAGTTTTTGGGTAATATTATCAATAAAAGAAGTAAAAGATAAAATACTATAACATTATATTTTATATACAATACTGATCAAGTTAAATTTTAATTATTTCACAATCTACTATAAATTTGATAAGAATGACACTTTTATTTTAGGATAGAAAATTTTCAAGTTCATTTGGCTTATTTAATATAAATGATTTTGAGAGATTTTGTATTAATTAGAAGAATAAGCTGAAAATGAAACTAAATATATTATTTATTAATCTACTACACTGATTTATGGGATGATTAAGAATATTGTGAAAAATCAGAATAGATGAAGATACTTATACTTATTGTTGATTTCCATTATTCAAGACCTTATCAATTATTTAAAAAAGAGATAATTAAAGTTGATATCAGAAAATAGATATCAATTACCTAATTGTGATACTATAATTTAAACATTCTAAGAATTACTTTTGCTTTATATATAAAAGTAAATACTACAAGTTAAAATTTAAAAATTAAAAGTACCTAGATTATAATAGTTTTTAAAATAGTTTGTAAGAGACTAAAATGATTGTATAAATTGTACTTATATTTTGTAAATAATCTTATTGTATTGAGTTATTTTATATTATAAAAAATTAAATAAAATCTTGTGACCATGAATTTTTGGTGTTTTTTAATGTTGATTCTACTTCAGCAATCCTACTCTAGATTTTTTGGACTGACAAATAAATTGGGTAGTTAAAAATTAAAAGTAATATTATTACCTCATTCTCATGATGATGTAGGGTGGTTAGACACTGTTGATTAAATATATTTAAGTGGACCTGGTGTTAAAAACATTATTTCATCATATATTAATGCATTGTTAGAAAATGAGGATAGGAAATTTGTTTAAGTAGAAATAGTTTACTTTGAGAGATGGTGGAATGAATAAAGTGTTTTAATGCAATAAAAAGTAAAAGGTCTAGTTGAAAATGGTTAATTGAGTTTTGCTGCAGGAGGATTGGTGATGAATGATGAAGCAACACCATATTACGAAGACATTATAGATTAAATTACATATGGACATGAATTTTTATTTAAAACATTTAATGTGATTCCTAGAGTTGGATGGTAAATAGATCCTTTTGGACATTCAAATGCATAAAGCATCTTATCATATTTATTTGGTATGGAAGCATCTTTTTATGCAAGAATTGATTATTAAGATAAAGAATATAGGTAAAAAAATAAGGAATTAGAAATGATTCATATTCCTTATACAACAAGTAAATAACATTATCCAATTTTAATTCATGTCAATTATTTTCATTACTCTAGTCCACCTCGTTTTGATTTTGATCCATTAAGAAATTCAGGAGGTTATGTGAATGATCAAAATGTATAATCAAAAGCTGATGATTTAAATCAATATTTTGTAAGATAAGGTTAATATTATCGAGGATAAGTTCTTACTCATACTCTAGGTGATGATAATGAATGGTCTAATTCTAAATCTTATTATGAAAATATGGAGAAAGTTGTTAATTACATAAATTCTCATCCAGATAAGTACAATATTGTAATTAAATTTGGAACTCCATAAGATTATATTGAAGAAATTAATGAATATTCTGATGAAATATTTTATCCAACAAAGAATGATGATTTTTTCCCTTATGCTGATAAATAACATTGTTATTGGACAGGATATTTCACTAGTAAAATAGCATTTAAGGGTTTTGTGAGATATACTGGAAGATATTTCTAATAACTTAAGACTTTTATTTCTTATTCATTTGCTTCTCATAATTAGGATATTTTAGATCTTAAATAGCCACTCTTAAAGGCATTAAAAGAATTAGGTTATACATTAGGAGTATCTTAACATCATGATGCTGTTACAGGTACATCAAAAGAGCATGTAACAAAAGATTATGTTAAGATGTTACATAGAGATCTAACAAAAATGAATAAAGAATTCCATAGATTGATGAAGATTGTTATTTAAAAGGATTTGAATGAAAAAAATATTGATGAACTCTATTAATATACATATAATTCTACATCATCAGAATGTGTTGAAATATATGAAAATTTATAGAATAATAAAACTATACTATTAACAATAGTAGATACAAAAATAAATGAAAATGATTAAGATATAATCAAAATTAAAGTACCTAAATTACCTCTTAATATAATTGATATTTAAAATAAATTAGTTTAAGGTGATGTTATATGTAGTAATTCAAAAGATGAATAAGATTGTACACTCTATTTCAATTACAATATCAAAAAAGGAGTTTAATATTACAAAATCAAATAAGGTAATAATAATTAAGAATCATCTGCCAAAATTATAACTTCTGAAACTTTTACAAATATTACTGCTAATACTAAAATATAACTTGATGATGGACCTGAATTTTAGTTGTAATATAAATATTATATTGCATCTACTGATAATGTATAACCTAGTGGTGCTTACATATTTAGACCTTAAGGGGGAGCATAAGTGTATGGATCTATCTAAAATGTAAAAGTATTTAATGGAACTATTTTGACTGAATTAAATATTGAACGATCTAATGTTAATACATGGATAAGAAAATATAAAATATTAAATAGTCAATATGAAGTAGAAACATTTATTGATTCTATTTAAAAAGAATAGAATAAAGGAAAAGAAGTTATTGTAATCTTTAAAAGTGATAATATTAAAAATCAAAAAGTATTCTATACTGATTCAAATGGTATGGATTTATAATAAAGAAAAATTGGGTATCGTGAAACTTGGAGTTTACAAACTAATGAATTTGTTGCTGAAAATTATTATCCAATAAATGGAATCATTTAAATAAAAGATCATGCTAGTCATAATGTTATGGCAGTAATAAATGATAGATCTTAAGGAGGATCTAGTTTCAATGATGGAGAAATTGAAATTATGATTCATAGAAGAATGTATTAAGATGACAGAAGAGGTGTTGCTGAAGCTTTAAATGAAGAAGAAGATAATCCTTAATGTAAAGATTAAATATAATAAAATTGTTAAAGAATAGTTGGTCTTAGATAAAAAATTATTCATAAATTATTATTTTTTGATCAAGAACATTAACCAAATCTTGCAAGAAAAGCTTAATTATATTTAGATTTCCAACCTATTAAAATCTTTGCAATTGATTCTTAAGATTAATTCAATGAAAATCTTCAAATTTAATAATTCTAATCTCTATTAGACAAAATTGAAGTTTTTAATCCAAAAGGAGAAGCAATTATTAAATTCTATTTAATACCAAGAGAAGAAAATAATGAATATTTACTTAGAATCCATAATATGTAAGAATAAAATAATGTCAAAATCTCTTTTCCTGATGATATTTCAACTGAAGAAACAATATTGAGTGGTCTTCGATAATGGTCAGAATAATAAAAAATAAGATTAGGTAATTATCTATTATTAATAATTTTAGTTTGGAGTAAAAATTAAATTTAAGATACCATCTATATACCATTAGATGAGGTAGCTCCATAACAAATTAAGACATTTGTAATTAAAATTTGAAAAGGATATATTATAATATGATTATTAAAAAATAAAAGATCTAAAACTATTAAATATATATATATATTTTTGTAAAATTTATTAATTTTAAAAATTTATTTTATGTTCTTCATAAAAATAAAAAATAGCATTTCTCTTTAAAATTTGTATTAAACTTTATTTATAAAAAGATTTAAAAATTATATCTTTTTTGTATTTATAAATAGTACTAATTATTTTAATAATCTATTATACAATTGCTATTTAAGCAAAATAATAATTTAAATATCATATTCAATAAAAAATTTAAGTTAAAAAAATAAGAGATCATATCTTTAGTCATTTTTACATACATATCTCAGGATTATAGCAATATTAATTAAATTATTCTTATATTAATATATAAATTTACCATTAAGAGTGTTATTTCTCAGAATAACGAAATTATCATCTTCAGGAGTTTCAGTAGAATCATAAAAATTATTTTATTTTGAATATGGTTTTGGTTTGTATGGTGGAGGTAATGTCTTTTTTAATAATGAATTCCAATCAAATTGTGAAAACCATGGATGGTTTTTAACATCATTAGGATTATTAGTTCCTAATCTATTTTAAGGTTTTCTTTAAATTAACTTGTATTATTTATAATGATTACTTGGTTCACAAAATCTGCTGCTTCAAGAGACCAAGCAACAGGTAAATCCATCCTTTTAATTTAAGCCTAATGAGCAAGAATTTAATCGCGTATTTCTTATCTTGTTTTTCCAACATAAGGTCTTTTACCAAGCATACATTCATGTAAAATAATTCCAAGAGCAAAAAAATCTACAGCAATTCCATGATTTTATCTACAAAGCACTTCTGGTGCCATATATCCTGGTGTACCACTTGCATCTGAAGAATTTTAAGGTCTCCAAATTCTTGCAATTCCCATATCTGTAAGTCTCAAATATCCTTTATCATCAAAGACGAGATTCTCTGGTTTTAGATCCCTATGAATTATTCCCTACTAATGTAAATAATCTAGACTAGTAATTATACAGGCAGCAAAAAATTCTATAATTGAACAATTTTTCATACTCACTTCTTATTCTGAAAACCTTTTGTTCTTGTAAATATGAAATCTTAAGTCTCCCCCAGTTAATAAGTCTAATACTAGATATAGGCTTTCCTTATCTTAGAATGCAGAATGCATATTCACTATAAAAGGATGTCTTAGTTAAATTAGGAGATTTTTCTCATTCAAAATTGCTGTTATACATTTTTCAGTAATTATTCTAGTTTATTTTATATTAAATACTTTGCTTTAGACATTTTCTTAATGGCAAACAACTAGTTATTTTTTTTTCTTCTGACTTTAAGAACTTTTCCAAAACCACCTTTTCCTAAGACTTCAATAATTTCATAATTTCTTATGGATTACACTATTATTATAATTTAAATCTTTACTAGATTCTTAAAATTCTTCTTATTTAGCTAAAACATTGCAATTCCCCATAAATATGAAAAAATTAATTTATATAGTCATGCTTATATTATATATATCATATTTAAATTGAATAGATCATTTTAGACCATGATTCAAAGTTTCCCCAATTAAACCAATCCATTTCTTAGCATTTTATGACTAAATTGAATAATAAAGGATTTTTACTTTAAAAATATATTTTTATTTTTCATCTATTATAACAAATTTATCTTATTTAAGCAATTAGTATTTTAAAAATTAAGTAACATGAATAACTGTCTTTTTATCATTCAATTTTGGATTTGTATAATGTATTGAAGGAATATCATTAATAATTTATAATACTAGAAGTCTTGGAGTAAAATATGATATAAGAACTAATATTATAATAATAATTATTATTTTACATCCAGAATCTTTTTCAACCATTTCTTAAAATATAATCTTTGATATAGGTTCTTAGACAAATGTTTTTGATTTTCTTTGATCTCTATGAATTTGTAGAGGTTAAGGTGGATTCATTTACCATAAAGTATTAAAATCAATATCTGCAAAATAAGGATGACTTTTAATTTTAGAATAATCAATTAATCTATTATTTAGATCTTTTTCTAAAAATAGCTTCATTAAATCCTAAGCTTATTAAGGAATGCTCTTGACAATAAATGAATAATTTAAATACTTTTGGAAATATAATTTGATCTTTAACAATTTTTTAATATAAAACTTCTTAATCTTCTTAATTATCTGTTTTGAATGGTATAGTTCCAGTATACATTTTAAACATTATAATAGCTAATGCCCATAAATCTGTTCCTGGACCTACTGGTTAATCAGAAATCATTTCAGGTGTCAAATAAGCATTTGTACCTACAAAGCTATATTTTCTTTTTCTTTCAGTATCTACAAAGTCTTTTCTATAATTGTCTATAGCTTCAACTATTTTTGATGGAACTTTATGTTAATCATATATGACTGCAGTTCCAAAATCTATTAATTTTAAATGCTTTTCTTCAGTGATTAATAAATTTTCAGGCTTATATTAAAATTATAAATATACTTTTATGTCTCTATGTACTATTCCTTTTGAATGGATATATTCTAGAATAGATAATATTTCAGCTGTATAAAATTAAATAATTTGATGAGTTAACTTTTAATCTAAATTATCATATATATTAAATACTGCCATATAGTTTTAAAAATTCACTAAAACAATCCTATGCTAATTCAAGTAAAAAATACAAATTATTTTTGTCTTGAAATGTTGAATGTAATTTGATTATTCCTTCATATTTTAAATATTAAAGCATCTCTTTCTCAATGTATGCATGATGTTACTTTTTATTCTTACATATAAATATATTTAATACCAATTTCATAAAATTTTTATCTATTATTTTTATTGCATAGATTGGACATTAATTACTATTACCTTTTTAAAGATCTTCTTTTTTTTGACAGCTGTATACAGTACTATAAGCTCCATCACCCATTGATTAGATTTTTATAAAATCTTCAATGCCTATTTTCTTTTTAATTGGAGTCTCTACTTCTTATGAATTTTATATCATTAATATTATTATAAACTCTAACTAACAAAATCAGGTCTAGTATTATTCCGCATTTATGGCTCTTCATAGATTATTTATGATTAAGCAAAATATTCGTTTTCTATTTCAGCCTTTGGAACTGGAACAGAATGGAATTAATTCTAATTTTAGTATACTCTTTATGCAGTTAATGGTATTTATTATTAATGAAACTAATATTAAGATGGTACTTAATTGAAAGGTGTTAATGGTATAAATTATGGTTATTATTGATATTAAATTGGATTTCTAGCTGGAGAAGCAAATTATGGAATAATAATTTACTATTTTAAAGGCTAAATTATATTTAATAAATAATACTTTCTCTTCTTATAATGGTAATTAAATTATATATTTAAGTCCTTCATGTAATTTTTGAACAAACTTTTCTATGGATGTCTATAGATTTTTATAATCTTATTTCCATTTACTATCAACATAATCTAAAAATCCATTGACATCTTAGACTTCTTTTGAATTTAATGTTTCCATTTGCATATCAAATAGTTTATAGAATTCAATTGTAAAAGCATTACTAAAATATGTTTTTATCATTTTCAAAAAATTATCTTTCATTAAATTTAAGAGTTAAATTCTACATATTATTAAATCTATTTACTTTTTAGTTACAATTTCACCTTCTTTATTATTTTTGAATTCATATTCTTTATGATTAACATAAGATTAAATCTTTTTGAATGCTTCTTCAATATTATTTCCAATATCATCTGAAACTTTTAATTATTAATTTAATTATTCTAATTCAATAATAACTTTATTCCTTTCTTCTTAATTACTAAATCTAATCTCCTTTTATTTATCTTAAAATTCTTTTTTAACAGTATCCATTTTTTTTTAAACTCCTTTCAAATTTTTTTCAATGACACTTTAAAAATAATTATTCTCATTTCCAATTCTATTTTCTTCTTAAATTAATTCAGATTCACCATTAATTAAATATTTTAATCCAGGACTTACATTCTTTTTGTTACTTTAATATAATTATAAAACTCCATTTTCTAATAAATTTGAAAGTTCTTCTAACTTTTTAAATTACAATTCAAATTTACTTTATGTGATTTCTCATGAATTTTGACTGCACATGTTGAACACATTACTCTTTATGAACATTATTTCTCTAGACAAACCCAACTGATCCTTTATTTAATATGTTAAGTGCATGTTTAATCGATTTCCATTTTGTTAATTATAATATATTGTAAATTTCTTATACAATTAACTGTCAATACTTTATAACCCAATATATTATAATCTAATTAATTAATTTCAACAGCTAATTTTTAACAAATGGATCCCAATAACTCAAGAAAACCATCTCAAAATGCCAGAGCATTAACTCTTGCTGATCTAGACTAACAATCTATATCAGAAGACTCTGCTATGGACTTAGATTAATCCCAATTACATAGATTAGGAATTGATATTAGCAATATATAAGCTGCTGATATGACTTAAAATGATGAACCTAGCAAATCAATTATGCACTTTTCTAAAAAGAATAGTGATTCTACTACTAATGTTGATTTAACCTAACACATATTCTAATTCAAACAAAAAATTTAAGATTTGCAATTAGAATTAGGATCTAATAGATCTGATCCTTATGAAATATCTATACATTCATTTAAGAATCAAGAAGATAATTCATAAAATAAAGGATTATGTGTATCAGAAGCACTTGGAACAAACATTCACTCTTAAAATTAACTGAAAAATTAACATTAATAAAATTCCACTTCATATTAATTCAAGGCTCCAAACACATCTTTATCATCTGGAGGTCTTAGTTATAATCTACCTCATTTAAATTCAACTGGAAATAAAGCTCCTCTTAATGTAAACCCAATAGGAAACCTTTATGAATAGTTAGAATATCATAGATTGAAATTTTATGATTCTTATATGCCAGAATAACATAAAGTACTCAATAATCCACTTAAATTTCTTAAATACAAATTGCATTAATAAAATAGATATGCATTCGATCATTGTTTAGATTGCTTAATTCATTGAAAAATTATAAATTTAATTAACTTAATGTTAAACTTATTTCTATTTTTCTGTATAAATTAAATATAAATCTTTCATTCTCTTCAATTTCTATGAAAGAATTAAGATATAATAATAATAGAAATTTTAATACTTTTTAATATTATTTATATAGCAACAATTTTTGAAACAAATTAGTTTAATGATAATAATTTCAACTTTTACTTAAAGTTTTATTATAAAATATCTATTCGTATTAATTTATACTTAAAATAAATTATAAATTTTCTATTATATTGGATTCTCAATATAAAAAGATTGTAAAATAGATATATTTTGTAAATTGATTATGAATTCTTTATAAAAATTAAAAATATTAGAAGTTATTTTGTCCTTATGTTAAAATTAATTTGAATTAAAACAAATTTTTAATACAATAATATGAAATCATAATAAAGGATAAGGTCGATAATATGAAGGCATCATTTATGACATCTAAGAATGATATTTAAAATTTTTACCATCTATTATAATTAGTTATATTGATAAGATAAATAGGTGTAATTTTAAGTTAATTATTAATTTTCCTATTGCAATTACTGTACTCGGTCTGATAATAATAAATTCTAATATTTATTAATTTAAGTTTATTTACCTATGTGTTTAATTATTAAATTAATAGAGCCTAACTTCTATTAGTCTCTTCTGCTTATTGATAAAGATTTGTTTCTAAATTATCTTATACTACATCAACTTTTGTCTGTCTTTATTCACCATAATTTGGTTTATCAGAAGTGGCTAAAAATTTAAAAATTTGTAATTACTTTGGTTGAGAATTTCTTACTTCTTTGTTAAGGTTTTCTTATTCTCTCTCTTTATTTTCTTTGATATTCGCCCCTCTTTTCGATAAATCTGCATAATTGCCTTAGCAGTTGAAAAATTGATATTTAATTCTTTAGCTGCACTTTTTATAGTACAACCTGTTGTAGTCACTTGTTTTATTAACCTTTATCGTTAATCATTAGATATTTTGGAATACTTTAGACCATGTTTTCCTAAAACTATATTTTTTTAAATATACCTCTATATCTATAAAGAAGCTCTTTCTCTTCTTCTGGAGTTCTCTTAAACGAAGGCTTTTAGTTTAAATCCTATGCAAAATCATATGAAGAGTCTGAAGAATCTGATCCATGTGATGAAGTTGAAGAATCAGCTTATAGTATTTATTATGGACCTTCTACCTTAGAAAGCTACTCAATTGATGTCATACAATTTGATTATATCAATTTAAAAAAATAATTGAAAAAAAAATGTTGATATATAGGCACTTATATTCTGAAAATTTAATATATGAGCAGAAAAGATATGATAATATAAAAGTCTCTATTAATTAATAAATATATAATTAATTGTATTTAAAATTGAGAACGCAATCTATTCTAAAAAAGTAAATTATATATCTGACTCCCCTCTATATGATAATTAAGAATGTGAATAAAATTTAATAATCTTTCACTTTATATATTTAGATGGAATTTTCCATAAACATTAACCTAAATATAAAATAAAGACAATATCTTAAATCATTAAAATAATAATATAATTGCAGATGAAGATTAAACCTAAAATATTATCTGTAAAATTAAAATTTAAAACATTCTTTTAAAAAAACAAAAGAAACTTATAAAAGTAAAATGTCCATTATAATTCAGTTAAAAAATAATGTTTTATCAATTCTTTTTATGTAATCCATTCTTACTAGTTTTAGTTTGATTCAACTTTAAATTTTTTTTATCTATAGGCTTCTTATTAGATTATGAACGACTGAGGGAATTTTTTCTTTAATTTTTTTTATCTGTTTTAGTATTATTGTCTTTGGCTGATAATTTAGGTTTCATTATAGATTCTCCTTCTGATTGTTAAGCAACTGATTTTCTTGATTATCTTTAAGGTTATGATTATGATTAAAGTTTTTGCTAGTTTAAGTCTAAATGTAAATTTTAAACATTATTCTTTACAACATCTTGATCTTTTAATAAATTATCCATAAGTAATTTCAAATCATTTAACTATTATTCTACTATCTTATCATGATTCTATCTTTAAGTATCTTGAATCTTAATTTAATTTTCAGATGGAGTTTCAAGATTTATTATTCGTTATTCTAATTTTTAATAATCTACTTTTAATGCACTCTATCTAATTTCACTCATCATTACATCTATTTTACGATTGATAGATTTCTCAAACTATTCAAAAACTTGTTATTAATCTTTTAATTAAGTAGCTTCCAATAACTCTAATCGATATTGAGTTTCATGTAATTATTGATTAATGTTTCTTAATTCATTATGATATAATTCTTCCATTTTTGTATTTATATGTCTAGTAATCTTACCATTTTCTTATTCTTAGTTTTCTGCAAAATTTTACAATAATTTAATTAACTTAATGAAGTTCTTTAACTTTTCATCATGATTTTCAATTAATTATTCTATTCCTCTCATTCTTTATTCATATTTTTTATGAACCATAGTAGCTGCCTATCAATAAAAACTACTTTTACTTTTTCTAATTACTATTCAAGATATTAAATGTAATTTTCTTTATTATGATGAAGCATTTTCCTATCTTCACTTGTAGTCTTTAAAATGGGAGACACACTTCTTCTATGTTATTCAGAGTAGTTAGAATAATTCATCAAAATATCAGAAATAAAATACTGTTATTATTATTAGTTTGTTAAGAAATATTAATCATATTTATTATTAAAATAATCAATATGATTATATGATTATATAAAAATATTCAATTTTTAGTTTATTCATTTTGAAACATTTATTAAGCAATACTAAGTATTCCAAAAATCTATAATTTATTTTTACTAAAGACTTTCAAGTTATTATTAGATTTATGGGATTCTAAAATTAATTCTTCCTAAGATTAATTATTCATATACTTTTTCTGAATTTTATAATTAGGTCTTTATTAAAAGAAATGGAAACTTAATTTTCTCTTATTCATTTGTTTCTCTTTCTTTATTAAGCCTAATCAAATTTTGAAGAGCTTCCTACTTTTTTATAGTATTTGTTAATTATTCTTTCTTTTATAATAATAATTCCTTTAATTTTTACTGTTAAATTAAATAATTAAATATACTTTTCGAATTATCAAATTCTATTTTGTTAAGTTGACTTAGCTTTATGTATTCTTTCTCATCTATTTTTTATCTTTAATTACTATTCCAACTGAAATCATAACATTTAAAGCATCATAAACTCTTCTTCTTAAATTTTTAATATCTTTTAATCCATTGCCTTCTATTTCTTAACTCATCTCTTCTGTTAGCTTTTAACATATTTCTTAATATCCAATTGTTTAATTTTTTAGTTCCTTTTCAACTCTTTTACTAATGTATTTCAGACTCCATTTTTTCAATGATTTTGGAGAATTAAATTAAATTTGGCTTATTTCAACTGGCTAACTCTATACAAACAATTTTTTATTAGTATTTGCTTGAGAATCACAAGGACCTTCAACATCTAAAATAAATAATTTTGCCACCAAATTATAGAATAAGCGCCAAAATAAATGCGCGTTTATATATGGATTAATTGAATCAAATCATAATGTAAGTTTTAAGATTTTATACCTCTAATAGTGCCTTTTACAGGTGTCTGAAATATATTAAAATTCATTGAATCTTCATCAAGTTTAAATTAACCTGTAAAGTCCATTGTCTATGGATTAATAAATTATATTAATAATATTTTACAAAATTAAATACTATCATTAAGCATGTATATTTACATTTTTAAAAAAATTATAAATATAAATATAATATGATACTTGTCTCATTTGTAAACTGAATTAATTTAAAGATAATTTTATATAACCAGAATAATTTTAACTTTAAAAACAATTATGAATGAAAAATATTAAAGTTTCTAATTTTAATATAATATTTTCTTAATTATAATAATAATACTAATAAATTTATGATTTCATTTTCTTGGCTTCTCTTAATTAGCTAATATAATATATTAATAATTATACGATCGAATCCTAAATTCATGGCCGTAGTCTGAATGAATCCTCCTTAATTTACTGAGGCTGGTTGACCAAAGATTCCTCCTGTACTAATTGACATATTTTAATTTGCTAGATTAGTAAAAGATATTTCTAAATAATATTTATTGATACTTTATTATGGTGGTGGAGCTGTACTTTTCTAATCAAAAATACTACTTGTACTTCCAAAACTAGATGTATTTATATTAAATATTCCAGATGAACTTTATTACTATAATCCTAAAGTATTTTACATTCCTTAGAATGTTTAATTGCCAGAATTTTACAATATGGAAGTAGGTTGACTTTACAAGTAAGTGTTAAAATTTACATCTTACTATCCTTAAGTAAACATTGAAGAACCTAGCTATAGCAGAGGAGCTTATGCTTAATTTGAAGGTTATTATTGAATTGGTGCTGCTTAAGTATCACTTTTTTAAGCAAAAGTAAATATAGATTATGTAGATGCTGATGTTTATGCTGTTACTTATGCTGGTCCTTGTGCTGATGTTTATGCTTATACTTATGCTGATGTTTATGCTTGTGATGATGTTTATGATAGAGTTTATGCTGATGTTTGTGATGATGTTTATGCTGTTACTTGTGCTGGTCCTTGTGCTGAAGTTTATGCAGGTGGTTGTATGTTTATTTTTGGAATTTGACTTTCTTCTTAATTTTCAGATTTTTATTATTTTTATTAATGTGCTTGAGATTCTTTTTATTAATTTTATAATAAAGAATTTCCAGCTTCTTTCTTTTTATTTTATTCATCTTGTGTATTATCTTAAATATTAGTTTTTATTCCTAAAAATGTACTAGAAGATTCAACATTTGGGGTCAGTGAGGAGAAAATGGATTTTCCTTCTCCAAAATTAGTATTAATAAAGGAGGACTCATTTGCTTTTTATTATTTTTCACTCTAATTTGAGTTAACCATTACTATTTAATTTTAGGGTTATAAAGTAATTGGTTATGCAAAAATAGATTCTTAAGGTTTTTTATTTTACTATTAAATAATTCCATTTTCAGTTTTTATTACAGATTTATCTTAGTTAGTTTTATCATTTTCATTAAGAGTTTGTTTTTATAAATTAGTATTTTAAAATAATGAATTGGGTTTAACATCTAATTTTAAATCCCCAAGCAGTCCATTATTGTTTAGATTTAATTGTCCAAATCCAAATAGTGGTTTAGTAGTTTCTTATGGATTATCTTTTTATTTAGATGTATCAATATTTTGAGATTCTATCATATTTATTTCACCAATACTTTATTTATCTGATTTAAATGGATTTAATGATTCTAAATCTGATTCTAAACCTAATAAGCCACCCTTTGTTCTTGTTAAAACTTTACTATTTAAATCAGATGATTATTATGATGAATTGATTTCACTTTTCTTTTCTATAATTTATGTTTAAATAGGATCCATTTTTCTACGAGTTTCTACTTGAGCCTAAAAATTTGATTGAAGAGTTTTATTATCATTTTATTTTTCATCCAAATTTGATAATGGGTGTTATTTAGATAATCTTGATGCAGATATTCCAAAAGAAGTTGTTGACATTACATTTAAAGGAATTTAAGGATCATATATCTCTTTATTAGTTTCTGTGCTTAATTTTAAATATTTGACATTGGATTTACGAGCTTAGCATAATTTTTCAATATATGCCATTTAAAAATCAGCTTTTGGTTCTTAATCAGAAAATTCAGTGAATACTATTTTTCTACCAAATTTGGTTTTTGAAATACTTGATTATTTTTTTGGTGTAATATGATGAATACTTGGGAATTCAAATTCTCCAAAAGTTATTTTATTTCTTTTAATAGGATTCATTTATAAAGTATTAATTACAAAGTTACATATCCATGAAAATTATTCTTCTACTTTTGATAATTAAGATAAAGTTTATTAAATATCATCATAACTAAATTTAAATTTTGGAATATCAAATGATTTTCTAAGTAAACAAAAGTCTTAGACAGAAGAACTTTCCTTTGTTTTTGATTTAATAATTTATCTAGCATTTTATATCTATGTGTAATGAGCACTTAATTAATCTAATGACTTTTGAGATGTAAATATTGCAAAGTATGGTTTCATTAATAAATCATCTTCTTCTTCTCCATTTAATTGTTTGATGGATTATTTACAAAATTCTTATAATTAATATGTAATTTATGTTATTCTTTTTGGAGGTTAAGGTTATTATTTGTTTATCTATTTTTAAGCTTCATTTTATAATTTTTCAAAAGTTTTTTGTTAATCTGGATTTGATGGTTTTTATTATTATTTGGGTGGTTCATCTTAAACTACCTATAACAAAGGAGTTGAATCATTCAATTAATCTAATTTTATTAACAATTATCTATGAATAGTTAATGAACTTCTTTCATCATATTCATATATTAATAATGAAGGTTACATTTGATATTAAAATTCTTTTTAATCTTATTTTGCTGTACATAATCCTGGTTTTTCTCCTAATTTTTCTTCACTAGGTAATACATATTTAAGATTAGAAATTCCTTTAACATAATGAGTATATGATGATAATTAGATTGGTTCACCTTTTTCATTATCAATTGTCCTTAAATCATTTCCACAAACTTAGAAAATATATCCTTCCTATATTCCATTAGGAAATATTATAATGATTTTTGCCTTTGGTGTATTGATTGAGGTTATGTTCCAATCAAAATTTGTAATTTATGTTGTATGATCATTAATATTTAGATTAGAAAGTATATCATTTAAATGTTATTCTTATTTAGCTTGATTTCTTTCTACATCATAATTTAGTATATAATGATTGAATTCATACTCATCAATTGTGGCAAAGGATAAATAAATATGATTTTCATGTAATTAAGTAATAAAATACTACTTAGATTATTTTATTTGAATATCAATTTAAACTAATTATTTTGTTTCAAAATCTTTCAATACATATAATTAGTCATCAATTATTAATAATAATTATGTTTATCCATCTAATTATAATAGACAAGCAGCATCACTAATATGAGTAACTTTTTATTATAAACTATCCTTTTTATATTCATACAATATTTATTACATACCAACTTAACAAATGGTTAATAATAAATATTAATCTAAAACTTATACTCTCTTTATATGATTATGATTTAAAAGTAATTGTATATTCCATTATTCATCTTAATAGTTAACCAAATATAAACAAGTATTAGTTTATATCAATATTTTATTTTAAAATAAACATAAACTATTAATAATTTCTCCTGGATTTGAAGTTATTTTTTGAATTTATAATTTTGATTATTATTATTATGATAATATTTATTATATAATAATTGGTGTAAGTATTATAATTTCTCTTTCATGTCCTATAATTTGAAAATGTTGATAATCAATAACCAAATTAGCTGAAGGATTTTCATTTTAATATAAACGAAATTCATAATTAATTTTTCCTTATCCAAATACCATTTAAGCATTTTTGTTTTATGTCATCAATTATAAATTAAAAGGTGGATTTGCAATAATATTCATTTCTTTCTTTTCACTTTCTATTAAAGTAAATTTAATATCATCAAAACTTTTTTATTATCTTTAAGATCTATTAGATATCAATTAAGTATTTTTAAATAAGTTTTAATTATTTTAAAATATACTATTTTAAGGTTATGGTTGATTATTTTAGTATTCAACGATTTTTTTAAAATTAAAAAATTCATACATTAATAATCCTCCTTTTTTATCTAAGATGCATATATTAGGATTTCGTTCAATACAACTAAAGTTCTTTTGATTCATTCCAAATCCAATAAAATTATTAGATTTATATGTGACTAATCCTCTAATTTCTGAATGTTGTAACAATTCTAATTTTTCATCTGAATTCTCATATCTTTTAGCTTATTAACAAAGTCTATCTAATGTCCAAAAGGTAGCTATTCTTAAATTACTACCATATACTATATATAAATCACTTAATTATGTGATTCCAAAATCACCTTTATTATTTGTATCTTAAATCAAATCTATTTCTATATGACTATTATCTTTAATAGGTTGATTGCAAGTCATATCATACCAAAATATATGGGAACTATATGTAGCTGGTTCTTCATCTTCATCATCATAAGGTTCATATTTAGTTTCATAACCACAAATACAAATAAATTTATTTATCAAAAATAGTGCATTTATTACAATAGGTATTGGTATAGTTAATTCATAATTTTTTTAAAGACTTTTAACAACATTAGAATTATCACAAATATAATAATATTCTGAATCTTTTAGATAACCAGCAACAATTTTATTATCAACTTTTAAAATTTATTCTGTTTAATTAATTAAGTTAATTGCTATTAATTTATCAGGTAAACAAAGGAAAAGTACATTATTTTAAATATTTAATTATTTAACATTAGAATAATTGTAAGTTTTTTGAAGTGATAACTAAAATATTTAAATAGTTTAAATACATTTGAATTACTAAACTTATATAATATGATTGCATTTTCTGTTCTAACAATTAATTGACAATTATTTTAATTTGGATGCATAGATATCACATTTCCTTATGTCACTGTATGTATTTATTATGGTAAACAAGTTGAATATTTATCAGTTGAAAATAAATCTGATATTCGATCATACTATAAAATCTTTTGTTTAAAGGCAATCAATAATTTATCATTAATTATAGTAAAAATGGAACTTGAATTTGGAGTTTAAGTAGTAAATTAATTATCAGTATTCTAAGAGTCCAATTTACCTGGACCCACAATTGGTTCATATTCTTATAATTTGTGTTTAATGCATTGTGCTCTAAAATATAAATTATTATATTACTTATTCAAAATAATCCATTAATCTTTACAATCTGGAATGTCTCCTTTCTTTTGGTAATCCTATGTTAAAGAAATACAAGCATATTAATTAATTTTCATTTATATAAATTTATTTAATTATTATTATTCATCAAAATTAACAATAAAAATAGTCTCATTCATTTTAATATAAATATTTAAATACTAAATCAATATCAAACAATTAAACATATTCTCTTCATATAATCAATGGATAAGTAATATTTTCTATCTTTTTTAGATCTTCTCTTTTACAATAACTCATTTAAGGAGTGATTTCAACCAAATCTTTATCTTAAGTTCCTTCTAAATTTAAATATCTCTTATGTACATTAGATAACTATATTACAGCTTTTTTTGGATCATCAATAAGTAATGCATAATCTTTTGTTTAATATAAAATTGTTGTATCAGTCACTTCTATTATATCTTGAATATGTTTTTCAAATTAAATATTATCTCCTCTTTTTATTGAATGATATCGTTAATTCAATTTCAATGCTTTTTCATGATTCTATTTCAATTTATTGAGAAAAGAAACAGATAAATATAAATCATTAAGACACATTTAAATTTAATTTTCTTTTATAATCTAATCCTATTCTTTTATTGTCTTAAATTATTTATTTGAATAAAATAGTCTATCATCCAAAATTTAATTAGTTTCAATAACTTTACATAATGCATCAGCCTTCTATTTACAAATTATATTCAACATTATTGGATCTAATGGCAATCCAACTAGATTATCCAAACCAAAGAAATGTATATACTCCATATTTGGAAATTTACTGAAATTATCTAAAACCCTTTTACTTTATGAATGAATTTAGTTATATAAATATTGTACCAGTCCCCTCAGGTGTCATTATTACTTAATTCTCGTATTCAAAAACTACCTATCCTTTAATATCAACCACAGGTTATGATTTCTCCAATAAAAAAGTTATGGATTAAAATCCAAAATCTCTTTTGCTTTTGAGATACTATTAAAATTTATCAGAATTTTAATCTGAAAGAACAATTGCTATTGGATAATCAACAATCTCTTTGTTTTCAGATGCTTAAACATTTAAATTATTAAATTTACCTATCTAAATAACTTTTTTCAATCTTTCCATCATTATCTAAACTACACACTTTTTAGAAGGAAGTCCTATATCACTTAATAGTTTATCAGATAATCGAGAACTACGACCTCCACATAATAATACTATTCCCACTTTATGTTTCTTTTAATTAATTGATTATCCAATACCTTTATCAAATCATAATTCTACTCTTAACTATTAATACTTTGTATAACATTGCATGAAAATACATCTGACTAATTTTATTTATAACAATGATGAAATAGCTATATAAATGTAATTTATAAACTATACAGAGTCTATGAATTCAAAATCTATACGTTCTAATTTTGTCATAAATTATTATTTTTTTTTATTATCCATCTTTTCTAACATATTTAAAATATGAGTTTATCGAGAAGCAATCATTCTTTAAATTAAAGATGAAAATATTGTGTCAATTTGTTATTCTAAATTATTATTAACATTTACTTACAAGTTGCTATATTGTTTGCAATATTTTCCAATTTTTAATAAGTTGAAACCCTATTAAAATCTAGTTTTTAATAATCCTCTTCTGAATTCTCTAATTTCTATGCGTCATTTTGAGAAGTGCAAATTCCCATTTCAATAAGAATTTACAATTTAAATTATTTATATATATTATTAAGAATGAAACAATGTATTCAACAATTAACTATTTCATTTGAAACTATTGAAAATTAAAGTATCATTTATCCCTAAGAATTATTAGAAATCTATCATAAATGAGAATACTAAAAAAATAAAGTTTAAGATGAAAACGGATGTTAAATTAATTCGCCTTAAATATGAAAATATTTTAAATAGTATTTATTAATAATTTTTTATTTTCTTAAACTTATTTTTTTTTTTCATTCTCTTATTAATATTTTATAGTAAAAAAATCAATCAAAACAACTTTAGATATTGAAAATAGTATAATTTATAATTCATATTCAATATAGAAATTGAATATAATGATATCATAGAACTATATATATAATCTTTCCATAATTTTATTGGAAATAGATTATAATAGGTAGTTTTAGGCAATATCAATTGAATTTATATAAGAAATTTTGATTATGTCATTAAATGATATGATCCATTTACATATAGAGAAAATCAAAAGAATTTAATAGAAAATTGCTCTCTATAAAATAATTGATAGATATTTTATTATTAAATTAATATTCTCTATTGTAAATTTTTATATTATTTTTGGAATAGAAATAGGATAGTAATATTTCAAAATAAAGTAAAAAACAATTTTTTAAAGAATATAGAAAATAATTTAATCTATATTTATATTTAAAATATCTAATACAAGGTTGAGATTATTGATGATTGATTTGATTAAATTAAAATATTGAAGTCAAGATAAAAAGTGATTAATTTTATATTAATTTAAATATGAAAATTCCCATAAATATACTTGAACAACCAAAAGAAATTGAACTACGAGTATTTAATATATAGAAGCTTAGATGCTGGAATTCATTCTATAGAGCTCAAACTTCTTAGATGACTTAATGAAACTTGTTATTGATTAAAGTCATCCAATCCACAAATTATCACAAGGATCTTTATGTTTAATAATAGATAAACTTGATTAATATATCTAAATAGCAGTTGATCAGATTCAAAAAAATCCTAGTTCTAAATGTCAGATGCTGCTATCTCTTATTAATTGTATGATGGAATTAGAATGTTATAGGTATTTGATTAAATTAGAATAGAAAATTGTTTAATTCATTAGAACATTTATTTAATATGTTAGAATATTCAGATAATTTACTAGTATATGAATAGATAATGTTAATTTTAATAAAAATCTATAAACAACCATCAAATACAAGCAATCCATAATAAAAAGATTTTTGTAATTAATAATAGATTGAATATCTACCAAGAGCTATCTATTTTACTAGAATCCTCCTTGATCATTATAACAATTTATCTTTTACTAAGATAGAGTTAATTGATTATTTTTATGAAGATCCTCATTATTAAACCCTTTGTGAAACTCCAATAGAATTTCCTAAAGTGATATTAGAGTATATGGAACCAACATTGATGAATGAATCATATCAGGATTTGTGCAAGAATGGTATACATAAGAAAGAATTACAGCAATAAATTTAAATTAGAGTAGTTGTCAACAATATAATTAGAATTTTGAAATTAATGATGTAAATACCAATACGGCCCTAGAATTGTCCAAAACATTTTTGAATATCCAAGATTAAAACTATTGTCCTCTAGTTGATGCCATGAAATATAAAATCCTTATCTATCGAGGATTTTAATAAAATAGAATTCCTACAATATCAATTATAGTAGTATTACATATACAATCTCTTTTAATGCATATGCTTTTAAATTAATTTTGTTAAATCAATAATTGTGGAGAATTATTAGATTAAGTTTTTGAAGAATAATTAGAATATGAATAACACTTTAAAATATATATGAAATTATTTTAATTGAAAAATATTGATCCTCAATTATTGTCTACATTATTATTGACATTAGATGAAATAATTACTATTGAAAAATAGAATGAAAATGAAGTAGCATTTGCTATTGCCAAAAATTATGATGAAACATTTCTATAATTTATTTATGATATTTTGTCAATGCATCCAATTTCAATTGAAACTGAGTAAATTTATCCATTATAATATTCCCCAACTCTTTTGAGTGAATCATGTGTAAAACATTAAAAATTAGCATAAAGTATTTTTTAAATATTTTCATCTGAAACAGGTATACTCATATTAAGCAGAACTAATATAGCCCTTGGATCTTCATCTGCTCTAATTAGAGCACTTTAAATGTAAGATAATAAATTATTATTATCTCCTGAATCCTTTAAAGCTGCTATATTATTATTAAGCAGATTATCTAGAAAGGATGATATATAAAGAGATTTAAGAATTTTTAATGATCTTATTAAAATTTTAGAAAATTAGATTAAATTTAATATTGATATTTAAAAACCTACTTAGAATGGATACTCAAATATTACTTCTGAAGAAACTGATTAAATTATTGCAATATGCATTTAATCAATTAATGAACATTTTAGAGATGATCTTGGAAGAAGATCAAATAGAGCTAATGCTCCAACTTTTGCCAGATAAATCTCCGAATCAACAATAATTAAGTAATTATAAAAGTTATTTGTAACTTTTCCTCATTTTATTGGCTCAATCTAATAAGCTTTAATATTGATTTCTCATTTAGCTAATGAAGTACCAACTTTAATTGGTAGATTAATTGATTCCCATTTACCCTAAACATTAAATTAAATCATATAAGATATGATAATTGATAAAATCAATTATAAAATGATGACAGCTATTTTCTAATTCTATTTTAATATATCTTTAAAAGAAGAAGGCTATGATAAATTCAATTCATATGGAATGAATTTCTTAAAAAATATTGTTAATTATTCATTAATTGATAATCTTAATAGTCCAAGAGAATAATTAAGTGGTTTAGCTTAATGTATAACTAAATATACACAAAAAATTGATAAAGTTGGACCTTAAGTTTGTGAAATACTTAATTAAGCAGTAGAGAGATTAAGAATGCATTTAATTGAAAAAAAAAAGTAATTAACAATTTCTAATATTTATAAATAATATTTTGAGATTATTACACAAATTTAAAACTTGTCTATTTTAAGTTTTAAAATGTTTCATTATCCTCATTATTCTTATTTGGCTGAAATGAATTCAAGAGGATTTTTTGATTCCTTATTAATGTTCTTTGAATTTCCAACATTTGATTTTAAAAATGATTTATTGAAAGTATTTAGATGGTTAACTTCAGTTGATGAATATGATAATCCTCATAAAATATTAAAAAAAATTATATTTGCTATAGATTAATGGGAAGAATCAATAGGATGTAACTTAGAAAAGTCAACATATATTGTTAATGTATTATACTACAATGCTCAAAAATTATTTTAAAGTTTTAGTTAGCAATAAATTTAGGATAATCTTTAAATGGCATCACTCTATTCTTAAGTAGAATATTTATTAGAAATTTTAAAACTTTACTTAATAAATTCACCTTAAATTACTTGGGAATAATAAGATTTAATAAATTTACACAATAAATGCTGTGGTTTATTTTAGATAATTTTAGGTTCAGTCATATTTAATGAAGAAGATACAAAGAATGATTAATCATTAAAAAAATCAGTGTTTTATTCTTATATTTAAAGTTTAAAACATATCATTGTTAATTCTTTTAATTAAATTAAAAGAAAGAATATTGAATTAAATTCATTAATAATTTTGTTTAATTAAATGAGTTAAAAATTACAAAATGACAATATATAGATAATGATTCTATATATATCATAAATTGATGAATTATTAATTAATCTTTTTGAAAGTAAAAGATTACCTGAAAATAAATATTTAAATTTAGATTTCATAAGTCTTTTATTACAATCACAATTTACTAAATATTTATAAAATGCTATTCATTCATACACAAAAATGACACTATTAAATCAAAATGACCAGCTCAATATTTTATCTAAACATTTTTCATCTATCATTAAAATTTTGTATATTAATAAATTTGAAAAATCAAATACAGATTTTGGATAATCAATAATACCATAACAAATTTCAGATATATAAGTCATGCTATAAATAACCCAATTTTCTAATTCTGATTATATTTATAACATATAGTATGTTCTCATTGAAAAAGTAATGATGATTTTAAGTCCAACATTTTTTTAAGATTTAATCATCAAAGAAAAAGATCGCTAAAATGTTTTTTCAATTTCTAGTTTGAGAGAAGATTTTGGCAATTTTAATATGAGATAATAAAATGATTCAACCTAAGCAAGGGATTAATTAAGAAGTATGGGATTTTCAGATGATGCAATATCTATTGCATTTTAAAATATAAGAATTCCTGATGTAAGTATAGCTGCAATGTGGTTATCAGATAATTAAGAAAAGGTTGAATTTAATAGATTATTGAAGAAGGAAAATTAAAGGAATGAATTTTCTGTAGGATCCACTTCTGAAATCATTCAATAAAAATAATAGGAACTTAGAATTTATATCAAAACTAATATACTTTTCTTTAGTAAGTTTGAGGAAACTTTAATTAAAATATTTGAAGGATAGATGATGCCATCTTTATTAATGTGTTTAAAATAAACTGTTTAAGAATAATTTAAATTGTAGTTAAGATTTAAAGATTGTGAATTAGTTCTTAAGTAACCCTTTAATAATGATATAAAATTGATAATCACAATTTTGCATTATATATATAAATAATAAAATTTAGTGTAAGAATATGATTATATTGTGATTGAAATGATGAAATTAATTTAAGAATTATTGAAATACGAGGATGAATAAATAATTAGAGCTGTTAATCATATTTTAGCAATCTTAACTCTCTTCATAACAGATGATTAGAAATAGAACAAATATCATCATGAAATTTCGAATGAAATATTGATAGGAATTCTCAATATTTTGAAAGGGAAAGTATAAAATCATACAACTTCAAAAATCTGTATAGAAATTTTGGTTAGATCTTTCTAAATAAATAA